TTGAATCAAATGAATTGTGTTTTTTTTTACCGCTGATAGACGAGTGTTCACGGGTTATATCCATAAGAAAAACATTTAAAAGAATTGCTTTCGAGTACTACGCTTGACTTCAATAAAAAACTGTAGCGTTAAACGAGTTACGAAAAACAGTATTGCAGTTTTCTCAATAAATCCTAGCTGTTTATGACTGAAACTATCACAGTGCATTGAGTAACAAAACATGCATGTATACTATAAGTTTGAGACACAACAATAATATATATCGTGCATAGTTTTTTAGTGTGAAAATAATGTTTTCTCCTTGTTCATGATAGATTAGTTTTTATTTTATTGAGATCAAAAGCAGTATTTTAAAGCCGTGCTTTTATATGTTTTTCTTGTCGACGTAACCTATGAACATTTCTCTATCAGCGACTAAAAAATTCAGTTGATTTGGTCTTGGATGGTGAAAATGTTCATATTTCTCTTTGGTAAAGCTATTTTTGGTTCTTCCTGTATAGTAAAGATTTGAAGGGTCTAATCAAATATTAGATTGAATTAAGTTTTGTAAAACTTTTTTTTTTCTTCAAAATTCATATTCAATATGAGAATATAGATTTCTATCATTATTTATAAGTTTCATTAAATAAATAAAACTTAAAAAGAACTTTATTTTACTGAATTTATCTAGATTTAGTCATTTAGATCACAATGAAATAGATGAAAATATTCTAAATACGAATGGTGACACGCTATTAGGAAAAATATTTTCATCGTTAAAGTAAATTTCATACTAAAAGTTTCAAATAAATGATCAGAAAAAGATGAAACTATGTATTTCTTTTTTTTTGTCTAAATGAAGTAATTTCAATGAAAAACTTATTATCTGAAAAAATATAAATTAAGTAAAAAAATAGAATAGTATTTGAAAACTAATGCAAAGAATAATATACTTTCATATCATTTTCAACAACAAGTTGATATTTTAAATTTTTTCTTTTTTTTATTAAAAGAAAAATTCAACTACTTATTTATTCATTTCGTAATATGTACATCGAAAGTTCAACAAAGAAAAATATCATTTAACGTGTACGACACATTCCTCGTGCTTTATTTGTATATGACACTTGATATGTTGTTGCCCACTATAGTAGAAAAGTAAAATTCAGATAAATATATCATTTGAAACTTTATTTTTAACAAACTGGATTATAATGTGCTCGAGCTATATTGGTTAAACCTTGATTGCCTGGTCGTGTTAACATATTTGTATTATATTTATTAAGATATTGAGGTAAACAAGCAGTTGAAGCTGATAGAACACGACTGTTTGGTTGTTGTTGACGATCAATAGTTGGATTACACAATTGAGAACAGGATGGTTTTGCTGAATGGCAACCATTGATCATTATTGAATGTTGAGGTGACATAGGACGTATTGAAGAACCTGCTACACGAGCTTGTTGTTGATAAAAACAAGGTGGGTTAGTACGAACAACACACGAATTGCTACTAGTTTTTTCTTTATTACAATTTTGAATGCCAATAGCAGCAAGTGCTTGTGGACTGAGTTGACATTTGATATGATCAGGCTGAAATATCAAATTTATAATGATTGATTAAATTTTCAACCGAAAAGAAAAAAACAACAATTTATGCGATTTAATTTAAAAGAAAATAAGAAACAATTAATACTGACTAAATTATTGAGTTGATCAACATAACATATTTCAACATTTTCATTTGATTTATCATTAACAAATTGTTTTGGATCAACACAAGAAATACCTTCATTAATACATTGTGATTGAATTTTTGGTTCAAGTGCTTCATATTGAATAATAAGATTTTTTGGTGGAGGCACTTCATTTACAGTAGCTTTTTCTACAATACATGGTCGATCTTCAGGTTCTTCATAAGGAAGCCATTTTTCGAAAATAATTGAACGTGGTTTTGGTGGTGGTGTTGGTAAACGTTCAACAATAACTTGTCGTGGCGGTGGTGGTGGTGGTGGAACTTCACGTTCAATTATTGTTGGTTCTTGTATATCAGGCATCGGTGGTGGACACTCACGAATAATTAATGGTGGTGGTGTTGATGGTCGAGGAGGAATTTGTCGAATGACAATGGGCGGTTGTGGTGGTGGTTGTGGAGCACAACGTTCACTGAATCAATTATGATCTATGAATACAAAAAAAAAAAGACGAAATATCAATATTATTCAAACCGAATAATAATTGGTGATGGCACTGGAGGTCGTAGTCTACATATACAAAAAAAAAAAACGAAATTATTTCATATAGGTAAAATGAGTAAAATTGAAAAACAAAAAGAAATCAATAATTACGGTTGCAAATGTCGAACAACAATTGATTGTTCATAACATTCCTCGAAAGAATGATAAAAGTGAACAATGAAATTTTAAAATCAATAGTTTAATATTACTTGACAATCAGTTGGTTTTTTCATACATAATGGATCTGGATCACAATTGACATTATCATTTATTGTTACAGGTATATCAGTAATCACTTCAAGACAATCATTTGGAGTTATATTTGATGATATACCTGCTTTTTGAAGAATTTCATTAGCTAAATGACGATCACGTACAATAGTTTTTTGTCCAATACATTTATTTAAATTTGATGAAGAACAATTGATATCACCTGAAGCTAACATCATTGATCGTTGTGACAAATTATTATTTTGATTTATTATTAGATTTTTGTTCAAATCCGTATTTGTTATGTTTGTTTTATCACAACCAATAAATTGATTTGAAGACCAACATTTATTAGTTGGTACTTGTTGCATATCATTGCACATAGCTGATGTTGAAGGTGATGAAGAAAATCTTTGTAATGAAGCACTATCACGGGATAGACAATTTATTTTACAATTATTATATGAAGATGTTCGAGCATTGGAAATAGCTCGTCCAGATGATGCACATTCAAGTTGTGTAGATAAATTATTTGTAATACCAGTTTTACAATCATTATTGTAAAGATTTGAATATTGAGTTGGACAATTTTCATTTGTTCGAAATTCACAAGGACGTATTAATGGTGGTTTACAGATCGATGGATTCATATTAGACATTGTTACTGTTCCATTATTAATAGCTGGTAATTTACAACGATCATGATCATATGTAGAATTTCTAGGTCGATAATTCTGTGAAAATTTGTTCGATCCACAGAAGCTTCGATTTGACATGTTATTTATCGATATAAAATCATTCCGATAAATATTGTTAATACTTTAATTTGAATGTTATGTTTTGTTATTGGTATATCATATAGAAATTTATCGTATACAATAGTTAGGCGCCATATTCAATTGTTTTTTTTTGTCAATATTGTAATGAATAATGTATTGAAAAAAGTTTACTAAAGATCATTTCTTTGTGTAATATTTTCTTAAACTTTCAATTAATAATTTTATTTACAAGTATGAATTCAAGTATTTAAATTTAAATGAACAAAGGTTTATTTCAAAAAATTTTCTGATTTGCCTACACATAGTATTGTTTATGAGTAGGAGTATTCACAAAATCTATTTATTCTTAGCAATAGACAATCCATTATTTTTTTAACATTAAATAATTGACAGTTTTTGTTATTTTCTCTACATGAATTTCATTTATTTAATGTTAACTAATCAAATCTCAATTATTGTTTTTGCACATAGCTAATTCTTTTATTTAAAATAGAAAATGTTATCAAATTAGATTTATTCGATATGTGCGTTTTCATTTCTACAATAAATGTGTATTTATTAATATCTATGTCTAATTGTTCGTATTTAGTATAATTTGAAACCAAATTCCATCAAATTCATTTCTTCTACATATCTAAAATAAAACAAAATTAATATTCAAAAAAAGAAAAAAACAAAAAAGCTTTTTTTATTTACTTTGTCATTGAACTAAGAACTACGGGAAATTTTTCTCGTCGTTTTTGTTTGGAGATTTCTGGTTGTGCTGCTGGAAGATCTTCCCATTTAGTTTGTTCTTTTGGATGAACATAACCACCATATGGTACATAAGGAGAATTTAATTCAAGAGTATGTCGTAACTTTGGATTGTCAAACCATTCACTTTCACGTGATTTAAACATACTTGGTGAATCTTCTCTTGGTTTTGACCATATATTGTTTGCTAATTGATCAGCATACAAAATATCAATAGGAGGACGTGTTAATGGTGAAGATTTAGTGCAAGTATCATATTGTGTATTATGGGCAAAAGAATATCGAGCTAGAAATAGAAAATAATCAAAGTCATATAAATCTTATTGTTGTTATTTACATTGTTCCGGAAGAGATTCTGAATGTGCTGCTATATAAAGTGGATCTTCTAAACGTTTTTTTCGTAGAGTATACTCAACAGTATGAAGACCAAATTGATTGATTGCTCCGCTCATATTTGTAAATGTATGTTGTCGATGTATTTTTGTTAATATGAAACATTTTCTTTTTTTATTGTTTTCTTGTTACTCTATTGTTCTATCCATCGAAAAAAAAGAATTTAAATGGAATTTAGCGTGACTGGCTCAATACAGAAAGGATTATTTTTGTGAAAAAGAAAGGATTGATAGAAAAAAACTCACATTCGTAGTAATATTATTTCCTATAGAAAAATATAAATTCTTTGTAATATTCAATAGTCCTATGGCAATTTCCGGATTCTGTTTCTTTTTTGCGTTTGGTTCTTGATCTCCGGCCATATTTTAATAGGGTCACACAAATACACGTGTTGTTTTTTTTATTTTTATAAAGACGTAGTAGTCGATTTTTCTTTTTCTTTTTTTCATTCACAGTCAACGTCTGGAATAAAAGTCTTCAGCATGATTTGTGCAAGTTGCGTACATAACTTTACTCCCGCGCCATTTCATTGAATACTTGTGACAGATTTTTTAAGGTATATATATATATATGTTTGCATATATTTTTGAAGAAAAAGAAATTGCGTATGTTTGCTTATAGTTTCATTCAATGTAGAAAAAAGAATTTTTATGTTGACGGTAAGTTATTTCAAGCGTTTGACAATGAAATGAAAATGAAAATGAATATTTAAGATTAAGCATTTCTGTCCATCGACTTCGACTATTTTTTTATGTCGATCTGTAAAATTATTGCCAAAGTCAATTTATTATCTATCGACTAATGTTAATTCAACAACGAATAAAAATAAAGAGCAAGAAATTCATTCACAATATCCATTACTTGATACAAAATTCAATCAATATCGAATAGCTTATCATTATCGACATAGTATTGAACTTTTACGTGGTTATCTTGTCTTTCGAATATTTTCAATAAATTTTTTTGTCAGTCACCAAGATAAAGTAACATTTTTAAGAAAAATAAATAGCAAATTTCAATTTCTGAAATTAATTTAGATTGCTCATTGGGGTCGTCGAATTCTTGGTGATCGATTATTTAAAAATATACTAAAAATAACTGCATTTGGTCATTTTGTTGGTGGAGAAACTCCTCAAGAAATAACACCTGTTATTAAAAGATTACAAAATTATAATGTCAAACCTATATTAGATTACAGTGTAGAAAGTGATGATAACAGTTCATTATCTTCGTAAGACTATTGAATACTTTTGTTCCTCTTTTCTTGAAATTGTTGACATATGTAGGTCAAGTCAAATTGATCTTATGCATGATCATAATACAGCTAAATTTATTGAATGTATTCAAACATCACATGATATTTGTGGTGCAAATAATTTAATTGCTATAAAAGTTACTGCTTTAATTCGGCCAAATGTATTAAAAAAATTGAATACAATACTAAACTCTATGAAAAATCGTTCGTCATTGCCACCATTATTTGAATTAATCAACCAAGAACAAACAAATAATAAAATAGCTGTTCTTTTTCAAGATTCTGATAATACACCTTTAATAAAGGATCAGGTAATTCGATTTAGATAAGAATTATTACTTAGAAAATTTTTGTATCTTTAATCGACGAATGATTTTTATTCCATGCTTTTTAGAACCAAATATCTTCAAATATTACATTTATATCTGATGATTTAACAGAAATTCATCATCTTCTTATACGTTTAAATAAAATAGCCCAAGTAAAAACATAAAATACTAAATATTTCTTGTTTAATTTTATCTAAAACAAAATTGAAAAAAACACATACTTTCTAGGCATGTCTTAAACATCAAATTTCGATAATGGTTGATGCTGAGCAAACATATTTTCAAACTGCAATTAATTATCTTGCAACTGAATTACAACGATATTATAATAAATCAAATATACCTGTTATTTATGGAACATATCAATGTTATTTAAAAGTAAGTGATTATTAAATTAAAGATTTCTTTTTATTTGTTTTGTTATTATTCAAATGATAAATAGGATGCATTGAATTGTCTGAAACATGATCTTGCTCTAGCAGAAAAAGAAAATTATATATTTGCAGCTAAACTTGTACGAGGTGCGTATATGGAACAAGAAAATCGTTTAGCTCGAGAATATGGATATGAAAGTCCAATAAATCCAAGTTTTGAAGTCACATCTCAAATGTATCATACATGTCTTGATGAAGTTTTGAAAAATACTGTTAAACGTAAGACGGATCAAATCAGAATTATGATTGCTTCACATAATGAAGATACTATTCGATATGCACTTCAAGAGTAAGAATAAAATATTTTCATTTCTATGCACATTTTGCTTTGATTTAGAATGAAAGATTATAAAATTCGTCATGATTCATCAATTGTTTCATTTGCATCACTTTATGGAATGAGTGATTATGTTGCTTTCACTTTAGCTAACTCCGGTTATATAACATATAAATATTTACCATATGGACCAATTGAAGCGTTACAACCATATTTATTTCGACGTGCTCAAGAAAATCGAGCAATTTTTGAAAAAGCTGATAAAGATCGACGTTTTCATTTGAAAGCATTTAAAGATCGAATATTTAAATCTAAAAATTGACTTTTTTTTTCATTTGATTCTTTTTTTATATTATCTGCATCATACATAGAACGAACTTCACTTAATAAAATACATAAATGTATATATATACTCATCGTGTTCACAATCCGATCTCAAATTTCCATCTAGAATGTGATGAAATTTAGAATGTAAATATTAATTGATTTGAGCACATTAAGAAATATTAGACCACAAATAGTAGTATAATATCAGCTATGTTGTCATGAAAAGCAATAGTTACATGCGATGTTTCGCTATACACTCATAAATGATACAATCATTGTGCTTTTTGTCAAGAACGAAAACGAGTAGACGATATATGTATGAGTGTAGTCAATAGGAAAAAAAGAGGCAGAGTGCATATTCAAACATGTTATCAAAAATGATTAGGCAATGTAAACTACATAATGTTCAAATCACACAATGTTTTATTCGTTCATTAGCATCGAATTCAAGAGAAAATCATGAAAAAGTCAAGTTTGATTCAATTTCTGCTGCTTATGGATATAAATCTAAACGTGAATTATTTCGTGGATGGTTTGTATTTAAATTATGTTCGTATTCATCACTGGTCAATAATCTCTCTAAAGTAAATCAAAGCATAGATATCACATTTATTTTATTTTCGAAATATATATATATATATATACATCTATAGTTATTTACTATTTCACGTACTATTCTTGGTCAACGATTGTTTGAATATATAATGCGTTCAACACTTTATGGACATTTTGTTGCGGGTACAAATAAAACTGAATTAAAACCAATTGTAGAAAGATTACGTAAACATAGTGTAAAATTAATACTTGACTATTGTATGGAATCAGATGTAGCAAGCAATAATCAGTCTGTTATTGAAAAGATGAACTTTATATTTTTCTAATTTAAACATTTTCCTGTTTTTTTTCTTTTATCTTTATATCTAGACAAAAGACAAATTCATCAATATTGAATCCTTCAAATAATGATATGTATAATGAAAATTTGTTGAAATCTATTAATAATGTTCAAACAGCAGCTGAATTATGTGGTTCATCGGCAATTACAGCAATTAAAATAACAGCATTTGTTCCACCGAATATTCTTCAAAAATTAAATCAAATTTTAGAGCAAGAACAACCATCAACCAAACTTTCTATTCTTGAATTCGCATCAAACACATCTACAGTAAATAATGTTTACTTTTCTTTGTTTCAACATTATGAATAAACATACTTCTAGATGAATAAGGATGAATTAACTGAAGTAAACCATCTAATACAACGAATAAATCGTATTATTCAAGTATTTGATTATTTTATTCGATTAAAATTTCTTTAAGAAATATTTAGGAAGTGAAAAAGCATAATGGAAGAATTTTTATTGATGCCGAGCAATCATATTTTCAAACAGCTATTCATAAACTAGTACTTGAATTACAAGAACAATATAATCGAGACAGTTTAATTGTTTATAATACATATCAATGTTATCGAAAGGTAAACAAATTAAATTCAAAGCTTTTATTGCTGAATCTTATTTTCTCATTTTAGACTACTTTGGATTTATTACGAAAGGATTTAATACGATCAAAAACTAATAATTTTCATATTGGATTTAAACTTGTACGTGGTGCTTATATGGATCAGGTATTTGCTTTATTATTTATTTTATTTTTAAACTATCTAATCTTATTTGTCTTTTATATTTTAATAAGACAAAAAAATAATTATTTATATTTTGACTTTTAGGAACGAAAACAAGCTGCTGAAATGAAGAGTATTGATCCGATTCATCCAAATTTTTTAGCTACGACAGAATCTTATCATCGTGCATTTTTTGAAACACTTGAAAATATTAAAAACAATAATAATAATAATAATAAAATTCATGTATTTGTTGCTAGTCATAATGAAAATACAGTTGAATTTGCACTTAAAATGTATGTTTCTAATTCAAATAAAAGAAAAAACAATTTACATGATTTTCTTCTTAGTATGGACTCCATGAATATTAAACGTGATGATGGTATTGTTTCTTTTGCTACTTTATTTGGCATGTGTGATTATCTTACATTTCCGTTAGGTAAAGAATTTTTTCTTGTTATTTATTTATAAAATACATATCTGTTGTCTTTTTTTTGTGCCTCTATAGCTGCTGTTGGTTATGATGCTTATAAATTAACACCATATGGACCAATACATCGTCTTTTACCTTATTTAACTCGACGAGCACAAGAAAATCGAGCAATATTTGCTAAAGCTGAAAAAGATCGACGATTACATTATAAAGCATTAAAAGAAAGAATTTTAAATTAAACAAAAATTTCTTTTTCTATTATTTATGTTTTCATACGAATTAAGAAATAAATTAGATAATAGATAAGACTTATTAATTAACCTCTGTTCTAATTTCAAATAGAGATTGATCAGCTCTCAGTTCAGACCAAATACATTTTTAATAATTTCTAAGATTGAAACTATTACCGAACTATTCTACTAGAAATTTTTCGTATTTAAACCAATGAATACCATTCAACAGGATGATGATCTCTAAATGTTATGTTGCAGTAATCTAAATTCCATTTTTCTTTTTTTTTAGTTTAATTCATTAAAAAGATAACTATATTATAATTAAAATAAACAAAGGAAAAGAAATACTTATTCTTAAATCAAAAACAACTTAGATACAATTGACAAAAGGTCCCATACAAAAAAACTGTTCCAGAATAATGAATGTATCAAGACTAGCTATTAAAAGCGTAGATAAAATGTACATAGTGAAATAAAGAAAACAAAAAAAAAAAGTAAACATGATTAATTATTCGTTTATAATTGTTCATTTTGAGTAAATATAGATTTTTCAGTTGGTGGTTCTTGAGGAACAACTGAAAGAGAAAAAAAAATAATTCTATTTTCAATATTTTTCTTTAGTATATTTACTTGAATAATTATCTTCTAAGCGAATAGCTCCAGCTGGTTTACCAATTCTATTTTGTTCTTTTCGAATTTTTTTATAATATAAAACTGCTAAACTAATAATTCCTGTTAAAATAATAAAACCAGCTATAGGTGAAATAATTGCAAGTATTCGTTTCGTTGATGGTGCAAAATCTGTTCGTGTTGAAAATCCTTGTCGACCTATATATCTATTATCACCAAAGGCACCACGTTGTGTTTGACTAAATTCTCTATTGATATAAATTGAAAAAAGAAATAAAGATGATAAAATAATCTTTCAAGAATACAAACTGAGCATTGCAACAATATTGATAATTAGCAGGTCCACAACAAAATTGATCAAGTTGATTCATACCCGTACTTGCTGGGAATGGACATGGAAAAATACCAAATGCAAAACCATCAAAATTGTCATGATTTGAACAAACTGAACCACGACCTTGATGAGCTAATCAAAACAAAGCATTTAATCATTCGTTTTTCGTTTATTTTTAGTTTTTCTATGAAGTTTCTTTACTTTCAAAGTCACCGAAGGTAAATGCTTTGTCACCTTTACTTGCGTATTGTTTAGCTATGTTTTCAAGAAACAGTCGTCCACCATCTTTTCGTGGTTGAATAACATTAGTTTGAGGACTTATTTGAAATAAGAAAAGAAAAATTCTTAGAAAAAAAGAAATAGAAAAACTTGATTTACTTAATTGATGGTGCATGTTTTTCTGCTGCTAATTTATTTTTATCTAATTCACTATCTAGATTTGAAACCCAATTGACACGATTTGTACCAAACCATCCTAAAGGTTTTTCACCAGAAAATGGTGATGGTTGAAATGATGGGTTATTATAAAATCCACGACTACGAGCTTGTTCTATTTGTGATTGAGATGCTATAATTGGAGGATTATTTTTAGTATTTAATTGTGATGGATTATTTCGTTCATTAGATATGACTATATTTGGATTATTTAATGGATTTAATGGAATATTATTCCATGGTACTGGTACACCAAAGTTTTGTTGTGGAACACGTACATTAGGATTAGTGCCATCAATTATTTGTCGTTGATGACGGTAAGCATTGGATTCTATTTATGATAGGATATAAGTGTAGTTTGTAGTAATAAGAAGTTTAGTTATACTTGCCAATAGTGCAATAGATTATTAGTTGTAATATAAATAATAATTGAGAACAGGAGACGAAAGTCATAGTGTTTGAAGTAGAGATTTAATTTTTCTTTTCTTTTTCTTCTGTCGGATTTTTTTCTGTTGCTTTGTATGTCAAAAAAAATTGTATTCCGTTCTTTTTTTTCTTTTCTATTCAACACAATTTTTTTTCTTCGGAAGACCATGACCTTTCTTTATACGATACAACTTACATTTCCTCGTTCAGTTTTCTATCGTTCTTGTCTTTCTCTCTTTTTACCTTCGATCAATTCATGAAGTTTCGTTCGTCGCCATTTCGCTGAGACCTTCTCTCCTATGCTGCCAACATCATCTCTTTATTTCATACCTAAATTTTTTTTTCCTTCTTCTCATTGATTGCGCTACAGCATTTGTATATGGTTTAGAGGATGTATATTTTTTTGTCCTAGTCTCCTTCTCTCTCAATATAAAGAAAAAAAGATGGGTGAACTTCAAAAATACATATAGTCTATTCTATAGTACATATGTAATTGAACAAATGAACATGCAAGTTTATGCATGAATTTATGACTATATATACATGAACGCATTAATCAAATATTCTGATGAAATAAGATTTGAGAACAATAGATCAATTCAAAATTGAGATAATCACGCTTGAAAAGTAACAGTTAATGATATAGAAGAATATGATTGTTCGATTTTAAATTGTTTTCCCCTGTAATTTCCGTGCGGTATATTTTGACATTGAAATGAATCAGTTTTATTTGAACAAAAATGTTCAAGATCAAGAAAACATTGTTTGTCTTCAGGTGTTTTATCAATTCTGCCTATTTTTTTTAAAGACTGGTCATGTTCTCGGTTATGTTTAAATGTATTGCACAGAACAGTAACAAGTAAAAGTGTTTGGCTTTATTAAAATTTGTATTCTCAATAGACAGAAATATTTACTTCACATGAACTTTCGTTTGAAACAACCTCAAAGGACAAAATAAAAATAAAAGAAATTATACATTTTTCTATTTTCATTTCATCTCTTTTGATGGATATTTTCATTATATAAGATTTGCAACATCTTCTATTCGAATTAAGGCATCCCTAAAAATCGAACTTGAATCAAGAGCATTCAAATCACATGAAATTTTCAACCCTATATTGTGATGTTTTCATGAAATATTCAACAAGCAAGAATAAAAAACTAGCGCACTTAGCAAGCCGAAATTCTCGGTGGATCTTCATTCTATAGATTTAATTTTTTTTCTACTTGAAAAATCATGTCAGACTGCAGGGCCTAATAGAGCTTTTCTCTAAAATTCTTATTTTTTATGTAGAGAAAAATGATCACAAGTTCAATACATCGAGAGACTTGCAAAAACTGGTCATCTATTTATAGAAGTGTTTCTTTCTATAATTATTAAAAGAGCTTAATTCAAAAATCGGGTTCTATCGGACACTACAGCTTTATATGTGTTTTCAAACAAGAAAAAAGTAATTGGCTACAATGAAGCTTCTTCAAGAACTCTGGAATGAGCGATCAGAAAAACGAAAAAGAGTTCTTGCTGTTTCTGTAAAAATAAACATATTTTTCAAGCAGAAAGTGACGAAAATGATCAAAATTTTTGCCAGAAAAATGAATTACGAAGTAAAAATTCATATAGTTTAGGGAAGATCAGATCTCGGATTAATTTCCCATGCATTTATCTCAATTTAGATTTATGTAACGGAAATTGACATTTTTTAGGTAGTCTTTAAGCAATATTAACATACGTTCGCTGTTTTGAATGATACGTGTATAAAGGCTTAGTAAAATCAGATCTATTGATCAAATTTCTTTTTTTATTCATAGAAAATAGTTTTAATCTACTGATCTACATAAAATAAAAATATTCCAGATGAATTTTAATTTAGTATATGAAGATTTAATCAAATGTTAATGAATCAATATTTGAATTTGATTCAATAGAAAAAATTTTTCTTAATTTCATTGCAACAAAACAAAATATTCTTGTTCTTATTAGTCGATGCAGATTTAATTGAAACTTTAATGAAAAACATCGTACAAAAGGCAAGTTTATGCGAGAAGGAAAAACATTGCATGTGACGGTTTACAATCAAAACCAGAAATGTGTTTCAGTATATTCATTCAAATACCTTTTTTTTAAATAGCTTTTACAAGACTCATATTAGCATGAATTCAAATTTATAACTGAAATGCTCAATGCAATGAAAAAAAAGAAGTTGCTGAAATAAAAAAGAATTCTATAGAAAAAAACAGTTATGCTTATCTACCAACAAATTTCATTTTTTTTTTTAAGAAAAAAGAAAACAATAACATTATATGTTATACATCATCGCAATAACAATACTAGCAAAAGAAGTGTGACACGATCAAATAGAGCAACAAAAAAAAAAGAAAAAAATTCAATAGATCCAAAAACTGATCACTCTTCTTTAGCAATAATATGTTGATTAATAACATTTAAAATTTCTTTTCGCTTTGATGAACCCATTAAATTTTTTTCACACCAATTAGAAAATGTTGATGTTGATGGAAAATTAGTTGCTGATGAACGATGAAAAAAAAAACTTTCAATATATTGTAATATATATAAACCACAATCAAAATAATTTCGTTGTTGTGGTACACCAGCTTCAATTGTTGGTATTGTATCAATATTAAATAATTTTCGTGCTAATGATTTAATAGGTAATGTTTTTTTATGATCATATTCAAGTTGAAGAAATTCGCGTAATGTTGCTGCAACACGAACTTTAGAAGCAATACGTAATGAATCAAATATAATTATTGCTGGAGATTGAGAACGATTTTTTGAATCAAAAAGTGATTCAATATTAATTTTTAAAGGTGTATCATTATTAGATATAACTTCGTCAGCATCATCAACAATTTCAATTGAATGAATATCTGATTGCAATGATGAATTATTAAAAATATTATTTTTTTCATTACGATGAATTATTCTTGTTGAACGTTTCTTTTTCTTTGATTTTAATCGATCATCTAACAAGATAAAATAATAAAAAAAAAATAATTTTAGAATATTTTTCTTTTAATTTTAGTTTGAGAATTTGATTTCGTACCAAAATCAGAATCTTCATCATCACTAATTAAATCAGCTTCTGTTAAAACATTATTATGATTTTGTATAAGAACAATATACCAATGTGCATTTTGATTTATTGGTACAATAAGAAAATCTTTTGAGAATAAATCGACATCACGAAGCCATCGTTTAACTCGATTATAACGTCGTTCAGCTGCTCTGAAAATTTCAAAACAGAAAAGAAGATTCTAACTATAAAAACAAAACTAGTGAACTTACGAAATATTTGAATTATCATTATTGCCTTTTTGTGTTAATCGTGTATAAAAAAATGAATTGAATAAATATGTACGTTTACGATCTTCTTCAGACAACTTTTCATAGTATATATATCTAAAAAATTCAACAGTTTAATCAAGTATTTGTATAAAAAATAAAATTATTTTGAAATATTACTGAAGATAAAAATCAATGATATTATCATTGAGATATTCGCCTTCATTTAAACAATGTAAATCTTCAGATGCCAGATCAAATCGAATTGTATTATTATTTAAACCAACTGTTTTTGCAGTTCTAAAAGCAAAGCAAGAAATAATTTAATATATGCTGTTTTTTTCATTTCAAAATAAAAACGAAATAAGAAGAACATAAAATCACTGAATAAATTTCATGGTTGAATGCGCGTTCATTCAACAATATGACAAAGATAAATGTCTAATTACTTATCAATGCACTCAATGTCACATCATATACAAAGCATTTGAATCTTTTCTCTCAAATAATAAATCATCTTAAGATGTCTAAATGTACGAATTTTACTGAAAAAGCTTGTCAATACAACCTCTTTAAGGCTAAAATGTGAGAGTGACATATGCATTTTTCAGTCTCATGCTCTTAATACAAGCTACGTAAAGTGAAAAGTCTCTTGTCGAGTATAACTGTTTTTCAAGGATAATCGATCGTCAATTAAACGATCTGTCATATTTATTTATGCGTTTCAAACAAAATGTTTTCGTTTACTGATGCTCTATTTTTTTTTTGTCTTGCTGTTTTTTATTTTCATATTCTGTTTTGCTTCATTTAACATTATTATTATCATTGATTTAACTGGCAAATAAGTCTGTTGTACATATCAATTATATCTACAGCAGGTCTCAACGCACCTATTATATATTCCGATAAGCTCAAAAACATTGCTTTGATTATTTCCTAAAATTCTAATTTGATCATGTCATCACTGTAACAAATCAATATATCACTATCCATCATTCTTGACATCTTTAATATAAATTTTTATTTGAGCGACAATCAAAAATTGTAGTATTTTGAATATTCATAAAAGTATTCCAGCTATTTATATTTCAAGGAGGACTTTGAAATATATTAGAACAGTCTAAGTCTTGTTGCTAATATCGTTCAATGTCTTTTCTCATTGATAAGGAACTCCGAAAGAGGAATCTGACTCATGTTGTTCTCGATTACTACGAAAACGTATCCAATGATTGTTGGCCTTTACCCTCTGTCTCCTTTCTAAGACCTAGGGAGGAGGAGCCATGACAAGCTCGATTTAAATTTACGCTCACTATTTTCTTTAAAAATATATGCGAGTTCCACGAAATTAAGATAAAATTTCATTCAAATGAAATGTTTGACAAAAACAAAAATAACATACAAATCATTAGCAGTAAGAGTAAAAGGTATTTTTTTTGGAGTAGGCAATGATACTTTAGCATATCGAGCTAAATTGTATAACTCTTGAGCTCGTGAAGCACTGACACAACAGACATCCTATAAAAGGAAATAAATAGAAATAATTTTTTTCTTAAGGCTAAATAAATATACTATTTTAGGACATTTTGTTTTAATAAAATGATAAATTGTTGACGTATGTATTCTTTCCATATCTGGTGTTAATTGTTTTAAATAAAAAATAACACGACGTCTTCTTTCATCTAAACGAATATAATTACGTATATTCTCGAAACGAAAACAATTCTTTTATTTACCTTTAGAATTTGGATCAAAACCTCTTCCATGTTCATCAGATGTTGGAATAAATTTATCAAAAAGTGCAGCGAATTCACTACGAACTTGAATAAATGCAGCTGGTGTTTGAGATTGAAATGAAAAATAAAATGTGATTACATCTGAATAAGCTAATTTCATATTTACATTATCCAAAAATCCACCTACATATATTATTAAAAACAAAAGAAAGACGATGATTTGTTTTCTTATACAAAATTCATTTTTACCTGTCAGTTTCATTTCAAATTCTTTTTCTTTCATAAGAACAATATCAGATTCAACATTAAATTCTACAATACCAAAACGAATAGCTGAACAACGAATTTCGAATGGTTTTTTAAATATATCTGAATATTTCGATGGTAATTCAGATACATGTATTCTATCGTCATGATGAATCGTCCAATTAGATGGTTCATGTGTATCATTTTGAACATCACTATTAACAATTGTTGATGAATTTTGTTGTTTTATAGGGGTTGCCATAGGAATACTATTTTTACTATTATCATCATCGTCATCATCGCTTAGACAAATGACTATAGAAATTAGGAAAAAAGTAAATAAGAAAAATAAATCTTTAGAGAAGTTCGGAGAAACATACCTTCTGGAGGACATTTTGTTTTTTTTGCCATTCGCTCTTTTTTCAACTATGAGTTCATGATTCGTTTACTAAACAAATACCATAGATTGTTTGACAGAGAAACCAATTATTTTTATATTTACTTTTTGATTACGATAGAAAGATGTCGAACTTCTTTTGTTTTTGTCGATGACACGTTTCTAGTTCAAATATCTACAAAGCAATAATAAATTTTATGATTCATAAGAAAAAAAAAATATATATATATATAAATATAGGTGGACTTAGACAAATACAGGGAAATCGACATTAAATTCAAAGATTTTTTATTGAGTATAATTTATTTAAATTAAATTAAGATAAATTCAAATGTCAAATAACTCATGTTTTGAAATTTATCTTTTCAACTTTGTGTAATTGTAGAATAAATAATATGCCTGGATAAATATCTGAGTCATTTTATATATTTCATTGGTTTACAATAATCAATAGATGACGTACAATATGCAGATAATATAAATACAATAAAAGTGTTTGTGGAAGATTAGTCATAAGAAAATTTCAAAGTGCGTAACAATCATAATAAACAATAACCGTAAAAAAGATCTCTGTTATCGACTAAGGTAACAATGTGACGGCTGGCAACAATGTTCGGATAATACCGAAAGGCATTGTATACAGTAACAACAAACGGTTTATTAAACGATTGTCATTTTCTATGGTATTTGTTCAAAAGCTGTCGGTCACGTCAATGTCTAGATTAGCCGAGTTAAAAATGAGCGAGTACGGTTAGCAACGATGTTTTTTACCAAATTTTTATGCCGCTAAAGTCAATTTACTTTGCTTGTTTTAATCGATTTTCATGATTTTCACGATCCAGAAATATGAGCTCGGAAGTCTCTAACTGTTAAATTTCAAGTTATCGTCAAAGCCTCAGCTCTAAATATTGAACTCAAGCATTCTTATCCGATGATAAGAGCCTTAAATTAAACGAAATAAATTGATTATACGACCATAGAACTTTAGCCAGCCATGAGAAGTAAAATGCAGTTTAAAGTAAAGAGTTTTCATCTCGAACTTTCGAGTTCACTTTTCTGGACTACTTTTAAACTACTTGCAGAAGCTCTTAATGTCTAGTAGTTTTCGATGCAAAGATATGGGAAAGGATACCGCTCTAATGTCGCACATTGCTTTATACATCATCTATCTGTGATCCGTATAGAGAGCTTGTGTATTGCTCAGCACAAGTCGATTAATCGAATCTTAACCACGATCGTAGTGACAAACCGTTTTGTGGTAGCTTCAAATATATATTCAAAGTCTAGTTTTTTGTATAAGATCACGTCGACCTATTTGAAAGTCAAATTAAGATATCTATTAAATTTTAGAAAATTTATTTTAATTTTGTAATTCTAATAATGAAAACAAAATGGAATAAGTTCTCTAGTAAATTTCTTGAAAATAATAATTTAACTTGATCATACACTTAAACTTTCTGCAGAGGATATTTGCATTTGAATGAATTAATGAATAATTAAAAAAAGATCCATTCAGTTTATAATATCAATTTAGTTTTTATTTATTTATTCATTTTTAAAATTATTTATTATTAGTTATTTAATCTGGGAGAAATACACGTCACCGATACGTAGTTCTGTGTAGTGATTTATATTGCATTAATGAATGTTAACGCTGTTTTCAAACGAAACTAGGATCAACTTAGATATTCTAAATGAACAAATAACATAATTTATTTAACTTTTTAGATTTTTGTCCTTCGAAGAAAATCCAAAGAAAAAGTATAAATTAAAACAATCGATCTAATTGATCGTGATTCAATGAAAGATATTTATCAACCAGAATGTACAGTTGCCTTTGTTGAATTTCTTTAAAAAGCAGATAAACTTGAATTTCTATCTAATAACTGGGTTAATATTGTCAAATGAGGCATTCATTAATAGATAGCTCCTAGTGATTCTGACTGTAATTACACATGATGTGTATTAGTTACACGTCTTTCCTTACTGACATCGAACAGGTATTGATGCATTTACACCTGTTTATGGTGGTTTAAAACAAAATAGTACACGCCCATATCAATTCAAACATGATTCGCGTAGTGTTGTATGCAAATACATGCAATCACTCGGAAATGATGGAATTGTTGAGAAATATTCACTGGGTGTAACATCAACGCCTGATTTTCGCCAATTAAGTCAGTTTTTGTTTGTAACATTTCCCAAAGAATTTAAAACATATTTATTTAGTATACAACAAATCATGACAGTATAGCGTTCAATTTTAGTATTACTCTTCTTTTGTACATTAGTCATTACCGTGCACTCTTTCATCTGTATATAGTTTCACAAGAACATTGTGTTTCATAACGATTATAAGACGTCAGCGTAAATGATTAAGATTATGACTGGTGAAAAAATAATATAATTAACACAATCCAAATTTTACTTTAATCTCTATTTGAATTGAAATCGTTTTGTATTCATAAATTAACATGCGACTATAAAAAGAACCGAGAAATATTACAGAAAAATGTTTACAATTAGTATATTTAATTGTATATAAGGTTCTCACATCTATACTTAGTTATTCGAGAGAAATAGAGAAAATATTAGCCATGTAAAAATATTTTATTTTACTTTCTCTTCTCGTCTATCAAATCGTTTACCGTTCGTATTGATACTGTGATACTCCTATGAATCCTATTATTATCTCAAGAGAATTCTAACTGTAAATACAATTATGAGATGTTCTAACAATTCAACCAAATGCAATAATTCGTCCTCATCATTGATTCATACATGTGATATCGATCTCTAAAATCTACGTGTCAGTTGGCGTCAAATATATCTTTATATTAGTAAAAATAAGTATCGACAAAGTCTACATGCATATTCAATACCAATAAAAAACACGGCGAACAATATAGAGTAAGACTGATCAATAGTCATCAATAAACAGGGTACGAGTGTTGGTGTATGTATTTATTTCACTAATACCAACAAACATGCTAATATTGTAAGCCATATCAACAATATGATCCACATACCGGTAGTTTAGAGTCATACTCACCTATATGCACACTCACAAGCCCACAAGAACATCTACATTTTTGTTGATTATAATTTTTTTAAATACAATTGATGACGAAGGTATCTTGAAAACACTGGATTAAGGTATTGAAGATGAATAATAAAAAATGAAACAAAATGAAAAATCGTCCAACCTTTATTAATTTATATGAAAGAAAATCCGTTAGTCTTTTTTTTATTGTATATTTTCCCTCGCATTGATTTGTTCCAATGACAAAATACATTTATTTTGTGAAACACGATTTGAAAGGAGTGTTGAGATGTTTAGGGGTAAAAATTTGCCCCCCCCCCCTCCCCTTCTTTTCCCCCACATATTCGTGTGACTAGTAACAACAACTACATCGTGTTTCACATTTTTAATCCGGCAAGGGATTTCGCTAACAGCTTTTTTTTGTAGCATTATCTCAATCTGATATATCCATTGTGGAATTTCGTTCTCAGTGGCGTAGCCAGGAATTTTTGAGTCATGGGCAATTCTCCAGTCAAACTATTTTGAGTTATAGGCAGCTAAGAGCAACCATCATGATTTCAAAAAAATCTGTGGGCAATAACTTTTGAAGCTATGGGCAATTGCCCAATGGTCCTACCCCTGGCTACGCCACTGTTCGTTCTAAATATTGCTCGAATAAAACATTTTGTATTTCTTTTAGGCATTGTCTCAATCGAATAATGAAATATTTAAATTCTAGTCGAGATGAAATTTTTTTATTAATTTTAATGGAATATTTCATAGATATTCTTTGGTTTAGATATTACTGGATATTTGCTGAATAATTTTTGTTGTTAATTCTTTCAGGTGTGATTGACGGCAATCCGGTGTCGTTATTCTGCAGTAACTAGAGAAAATGCTCTCCTGAGATTGATTTAGACTTGAGCAAATAAAAACCTTTGTTATCAAGTATAAATCAATTAATTTTTTATTATACCACTAATGAATTACAAAAAGAATATAAGATACAGGTACAAGAAAGAAAAATTTAACAATTTAGTTTTTATGTGGAGAAGATCATTTATTTTGATGACACAACTTATTTTTCATTTTGTGCTCTTCACAAGAGATTGAATGTCATTGCGAAGCTGTAGATTTTGGTCGTGTATCTTCTTTATTTGCTCTAGAATTGCTTCATTTTGTGCCTGTAACTGAATAATCAGTTTTATGATATCTGTAATATCAGCATCTGATGTTGTCATATTTGGTGTAGCAATAGCTGCTGTTATTGTATCTGATGTAGCACTAGCTGCTATTGTTATATTTGGTGTAGCATTAGCTGGCGTTGTTGATGATGCAGTTGCTTCGACACCATCAATGATGTTCTAAAAAACATTTTGATGAAAATTATCAATGGAATGAAATAGGAAAAATTAATTGTGATTGAGAACATCTTGATTTGTGCTATTCTATTAGTTGGTTTAATTATCAAATTGCAATTTTTTTGATTTTCTCAGATGTAATTTTTTCTGTCGTAAAATTCTTTAAAGTGATTAATTTTCCTATACTAAGATTATCGTACATGATTCAAAATAATAAAAAAATACTAGCTATATATGTGGTTTAATATTGTCAGTTGTATTAATAGTTGGTACGTTTTAATAATAAATCTAATATTTTCAAAGGAAAAAAAAGCTCATGTATAGAAATAAACCTTACTTCTGGTTCGCTTTCTTCTTCGAATAGTTTATAGATATTCTTTATCATACACATTTTTTTCTAACACTGAAGAAAAGACTATTTGCGACTCAATTTTTATATGGATAGTAAGTGAGTGATGACTAGAGATAGGCGTGACCGCCGTGACTGCCGTGACCAGAACCTGGTCACGGCCAGACACGGTAGCTTTTTAATGAAGCTATATAATGGCTATCTTTCGGTTTCATCAGAGAATTAAACATTTCATATGATATTTATTATTCTCTTAGTATAAATATATCAATATCTTAATTTTTATAATGCAAAAGAAATGAATATAATCAATAAATGCATAAGTACAGCACGAAAGAAATGTATACAAATTATAAATAGATGGACAAAATCAGTCAAAATAGGACAGATTCGTTTGTTTGTGAAAGTTGAAGCTGAGTTGCAAACTGTAGTCTCAAGTTTATAAGAAGCGTTTGTTTTTCGTTTCCGTAATTGCAAAGAATAGAGAACTCTGTTTGACTTAAGTTGTCGCCACATGACGCAAATTTATCTGTCTTTTTCTTACAAAAAAAAACAGAAAAATGATGGTACAAACTTCTCCTTAGTGATCAGATTTTCTAGCAAACTTAACAAAACTTAAAATAGTTTTTTTGGTGCGACTTACGAAAGAGCACACTTTGAAGAATAGTGGCCCTAAGTTTCACGGTAAATGAATGAACATCTCCAGAGAGATGAAAAGGTCAAAAATAGCCTCTTCGTAGTCTGTCACGTCACTAACGAATGCATCATGTCGTTAACATTGAGTAAGCTCAATTGTTTGAAAAATCTAGGCATACGCAGAAAAAAACTTTGAATACAAATTATGTAGTCTCAGGACTTGTCTACAGAATGTGCGATTTAGTTTTCAAAACTCTTGTTCCAATTCGCAGTTTTTTAAAACAAAAGTGCATGCAGCGAAGATCGATGTCCTTTTTTAAGTCATGTCGCTAACGCTAGGTTTTTTTATTGATAACTCCTCTCAGCAAAGATCTCTAGAGTTGATTCTTCCAAGGTATCTAGAGTACCTTAAGACATAGACGAAATACAAAAATTAGCTCTAGAAAAGTTCATTATCCAATGATATACGCATCTTAATTTGGCGACATCATATCACTAATGAGTGATTTTTCCAATATCATAAGAACTTCATGTTGAAGTGTTTTAGAAAAAAACACTACTAAAAAAGATTTTCTTTTCTTTGGATAAGCATATCATCATCTACTTTTGTCTTTTAAGCCTTTTATAAGGTGATGTACTTGATGATTCATCATTTTTCCGTTTCTCTTGAATTTGTTAACGTTCATCCATCTTTTGATAAAATATAATTTTAAGAAGATTAATATTTTTTCTCAAACAAATAATCGATCGATTTTCTATATTCCTAATCTTGTTTGTTTATCTGTTACTGTATCTTTTGAGCCAGAAAAAAGTCTTTTAACTGTCGTGTTTGATGCAGGAATAGCAAAAGTATGACGTGCGGTGGTTAGTAGATTAGAAAAAGGTTGACAATGATTTGACCAAAATCCCAAAATATCATCGCTCTCTTTATCATCTAATGTTAAGATTGAAGTCAGCCAAGAAGCAAATTCATCAACCCTAAACGTTGGAGATCGAGAATCATCGCAACGAAAGGATAGGGGATTTTTCATTCTACCACTATAATGTATATGCACATAGGCAACGAAGAGATACGCACTATTACCTTCAATAAAATTTCCGTGACTCACGGTCACGGGCACGATGGCCACGGTCGTGACCGTGACCAAACTCGTCGTAGCCGTGAGTGATCGTGACCAAAAAATGTTGGTCACGCCGATCTCTAGTGATGACAACTGCCGTGCGTCAATATAGAATAATTAAAGCTTCTTTGTTATTGATCAGTTTCCATAGAAGAAAGTTTTTTCGTTCTCTCTTCAACAAATGAACATTCTAAATGGAGAAAGAACGAGTGAATAGAGGAAGTTGAAAGATTTAATTAAAGTTAGTGTTAGACAAAAAAATGTGCGCGACAAAGAATATCTATAAACCAGTTGAAGGAGAAATGAAATCAAGAGTAAGTTGTATTTCTATACAGCAGGTATTTTTACCTTCGAAAATTTCATTTTCTTCACGAAAATAAACCAACAATTGATATATTGACTATAATACGCAGCAGGTATTTTTTTTATGGAAAAATTTAGTTCTAGTCCTTCTGAGAGATCGAACGAAAAATGAATTGTATTAGAACACTGTTTAGACATTATAGAGAACCCTTGAAAGTTGTTTAAATATATTAGGTTACAAAATGGCTGGTAGCTAGAAAATAAAAGTACCGTTTTCAATGCGTTCATATCTCGTTTGATCCTTCAAGAGGACTAGAAACAAATTTTTCGACAATACAAAAAGTTCCAGAAATTCTTTAGATCATACATAGGTCTACCCAGTTTTCTATGTTGGTCTCAAATATCAAATTCGTTTTGACTCGCATTGAGCTTTCCTTGATCAAAATCTCGTAAATATTGATTAAAAAAAGGATAAAATGGCATCTGAAAAATACTATGTTTAGGAATTTTTTTCGTTAGACATTATTTTTGACTTTAGAAAAATTTATGATTCTGTAGTTTTTCAAAGAGGACTTTCAAATGAGCAATACCATACTTTTAGTCATATCAGTTTTCAAATAAAAATATTTGTTGAAAGATAAAATTGAATCATGAATACAATAAATATGCTATTAGTCTCTAAAAGACATCCGATCTAGAGCTCGTTAAATTAAACAATCAATTCGTGATTCATATATGATACTGAAAATCATCAAAGATTTACTGAATTCATAGTTTTATCAGCATTTTATATTGTCTTTTTATTCTTAAGTAAAAGTTACCATGCTAGGATCGATTATTAAAAAATTGGTCAAAGATGAGCTATATTGTGAGCAACTTTTAGATTTTGAAATTCGGCTAAAACCTCGTGAAAATAGTGTCTGAATGTTAGTTTCAACATGCTCTTTCTATTGATATATGATTCTATGGTGTTGGCCAAGAAAAGTACTAGTGAGCCGATTTGACCTCTTATGCACCCTCCTCCTTTCTAAAGACACAATCATTATCAGATGTATCTTAAATATGATGAAAGATCTTCTGTTTAACGCTTTCTGTTTGGCATCATATGAATGTGGTAGCATTTACATGAATATCTTTTCAAACAGAAAGACATAAGATTCCAATAAGACTTATGGCTGATAGTGTGACGAGACTAATAGTCTGCGGGCAATTCTTTAACACAGTTCGGAAAATCTCGGTCATATTTGATGTTCTATTTGATTTTTGAAAAGAATAACATGAATTGGAATGATATCACGCTGTTTAAAGATCTACTAGAGCAGTATGTGAGTATTTCATTCTAGTGATTCCACTTTTCTGATTGTATGACTAATAGAATTCTGTCGTTCATCAAAAAGATCACCTAACAAGTTATGACAGAAGTTCGATTCTGTTGATTTTAAGAGAAATAATGAACGAAATATATTATATTAAACATAAAATTGAGGTCATTTTCATACTATGATCCTAGACGTTTTTTGGTTCACCTTTTATAATTTTAAAAAATATAGGATTTTGTAACCGATGAAAAGTATTATCCAACAAGCTACAGTAGAAGCTGGCTTTCTTGACTTAATATATTGAACATAGATCTGAAAGACTATGATATCATTATCCTGCATTTTCAGTAGGACCATTTCATATCTTGAAGTTCTCTGTAAAAAGATGCATTGAGAAGTTGACTTTTGCATAAAGATATAGTTTGAACCAGGGAGTATCGAAACAGTTCCGACTCTCTCAATACTTATGTACAAAGGAGCTTAGTTTTACACACGTATTTTATCGAATTCAAGTGCTTATTTGGAATATTTATATGATCCATGTATGGTTGAGAAAGACCTCAAATGTTCCTACAATATACCTCGAATCATCTATCAATATACTCGGCAATCAATGTTCTTTCGTTCTATATATGATTGTGCAGGATTCAGTATGAAAAAGTCCTATGGGCCAAATCAGCTTCTTATGCGCCCCTGTCCTTTAAGCACATCTCGAATAGGCAGTCCATAAGATTCATGTTTCTATCGACAACAATAACCTGAAGATACTTTCATTATAATTTGCTTTGATTAGAGTAAAATTATCATCTCATGAATTGTAGAATGATTTATTTCCTTCGCACTTATAAAATTATACTCGAGTATGGAAAGATGCCTGTCAAATGAATGTCATGCACATAGTATAAATCTTCTCGGTACATTCGCAAATAGTATGATAGCGATTACGCCTACAGCACTGTATGATATTTGTCATAGAAAGCAACACGTTCACATGTTCTTTTCAAAACAGTAATCACATCTGTGTATTCATAATAGAGTGCAGTTTCATTTGGACTCGATTTATACAATACCTAGAAGATTTCAGTGTTTCTATTCTAACATTTCATCTCTCGTGTAGCATCTAATGTCTTGATCTAGAAAGGATAAAATCACTATTAACATTTTCAAAGCTATTTCTACTTCGCTAAGCAAAAAAAAGCATAGATTTTACGTTTTTCCTATCTCAGAGGATGAAGAGAGCGTACCTCAGTCGACCAAGGAACTGAAATACAGACCCTGTCGAATTCAGAGTGATAAAAAAAGCAATATTTGTTGTACTAAGTCGCCAGATAGTGTTACAGGTTTTCGAAATGTTAATGAAGCTACCTTTTCCAGACTACGATTTTCAGCAGAGATGTGAAGAAAGACTATAGAAAAAGACCATTACATCATTCATTTACGGTTCATGATGAGAAGCTCGCTGTTTCAATCGTTACTGAGGAAAAAATTCGGCTTGGGTGTTAATGATGGTGTGATTGTGAAGAAGGGTGTCAGTCTTCTCTTAACATATACAGCCGAAACTGAACATTTCTCAGATATTTTTCTAAGTCTTATTTAAGTTTATGAATGATATCTATGAGATAGATCACTTTAATGATTGTAAGAGAAGTTTGAGATTCATCAAAAGCAATTTATTAATTTACACGAAGACAAAAGAAAAGATTTGTGTAAAAATATTTATTCAATCAAAATACTGCATGTTTTCTGCTTGTGTCAAGCTAACATTATTATAACATTATAATTTACTCAACTAAAGACAGGAGACATAGAAGGCAAATAGAAATAGATAAGTATTTTTTGAATGCGTCAATTCTATTATTGAAAGAATGTAACATGGTAGTGAAACCAAGAAACGCACAAGAAAAACGGAATAATGAAAATAAAAGATTACTGTTATAGATTTTACTTGAAAATCATATTTTATAGAGAAGGAAAAAACTATGGATCGTTATGATGCATTATGCATCGAATGAATAGGTTATCTATATATTCAAGCTTTTACCAGAAACGAAACATCTCACATTTCTCGGTGCCGCATATCAATAATGACTCATGAAACAAAAAGAAATTGAGCTAAAATTTGAGTAGAGTATTGTGATGATGGTGAACAAATATGCACTACTTCTTTATTTTCAAATTCAACCTCTTTAAGTGAAATAAAACTATAAGAAAAATAATGAGCTATCTATGGATTACTAGAAAATTTTGTTACAAAATTTAAAAAAGCATTCCATGATTAATTATTACAGAAAAATTTAGTAGAGTTGTTACCACGGTATTATGTTATCTGTAATTTTTTCTTCTTGCTTCAAACACTCTTTTTAATAAGAGTTAAAACTTGTTCTATTTATCTGCACTTGTCCTGTTTCTTGCACAACTATTTCTTTCTTTCGTAATATTCAATTACATACTGCTGCACTGCAGTCATAGTATATTACTGTAGAATAATCATATTTAAACAATATCCTTTTTTAATGTGATACTACTCAACATATGAACTCAGACATGCATTCAACTTGTTTGTGAAATAACTTATTTTCACAAGAAAAAACGCATTATAAAGATAACATTTCAGCGTGTTTATAATAAATTCATTTGCTTTTTTGGTGAACGAACGCTGAAAACCGGGTTTAAATACATGATGAATAAACGAGTCAAACGTAAATTCATTTGAAAGGAGAAACACGTTTTAAATAAAAGCCGATACACCTAAACGCCAGAATAGAGTTTTCCCCCTCCACATTGAACGTTGAAACGTTGTTTCATACAATTTTTTTTTCATTGGCGAGTTTGTTCATGTTCAACATTAATCAATTTCAATAAAACAATCTGTTCGTTAGAAGTATTTGGATGGATCTATGGTTTTTTTTCTATGGATAACTGAGTACCACATATGTCGACACAAATACATGACAATCTATATCTTATCATGTTTATTCTTTTGATTTCTAGAAATGTGTAAACTTGATCATGTCTAGTTGCGTATTGTGTCTTACATTTTGGATGTCTATATGCTTTATCGCTTTCTTACTGGGGTGACAATATTTCTGATCATCAAAAAAAGATACTTTTGATCACCAGAAAATGATACTTCTGATCAACATTTCTTTTAGTTTCTTCATTTCAAAATATTTATTTCTGAAATAATGCAACATTCACAATAAGAAAAGTCTGTATACTATTAACAACGTATTAAAAAGTTACAGAGACCTATTTACAACTTACAGCTAAATTAACTTTTTTCGGGAGATCCTCTTTTTTACGCTTATTTAGTGGCTGGGTGTGTGTTTTACCGCTCACTTGATACAAATTCAGTAGAATTGCTAACCAATAGAGTGTTTAGAAGAATAAGCTTCAAGATCAGTAAGACATGTACATGATTGTAAAGGTGCAACTATCCAACATGATTCCTGCCAAACCAGAAAATCGTTAAAAGTAAGCCATTGTTGAGGAAGATAAATATTCAACCAAGTCGACGGTTCCATTTGAGCATTGGATGATAGTACAAGATAAAAATGGTCGTGTCAGTGATAAATATTGTTGCGATCGATATTGATAGACCATTTGTATCGAGCAAGTTCAGAATCAGGTGTTACAGTCGTAATTGTAGAAAACGGAGTGGTCTCACAATGTTTCGACCAATCACCCAGCATTAATTCAATCTTCGAAAGAAATGAACTCAAGTGTAATTTATTTCGAATCGTGTATTATTGTTTTATTTGGGCGTTCATCGACTCACAGACGTTATTTGTAGAAGGTACATTTATTGCACAACCTTCATACCTACAATGGAAGCGGAATATAGTAAAAATAGTTATACATCTTGGATTTTTTCATTCTATTACCAATTTGGCATCTTTTTTATCCATTGCTCATAAAAATAATCACAAAATTTATTCAACGAGTCCTCAGAACGTCATTTAGCCATCAGGAGATTTATTCCATAATTGAATAATTGTTCGTTAAAACTTAATTGTACAGCATGAATATCTTTACTGATAACATCCCATGGATTTTTAGGCACCATATTTCGATGTTCACGGCATTTTTTATCATGTGAAATCAGCACATATGCCTTTTGGTTCGCGGCAATATTTTTCCTTTTGCTGATGTAATTCCTAAAAGTTAGAAACTTAGTATTAAGCAACTATTTTGTTTTTGCAAATTAGCATGCTATATGCTCCATCAGCCAGTAAGAATTCAAGCGAATAAGGTTTATGCAACTCTTGAATACTTAATGCTTGAAGTGATGTAAATAAATATTCATAATAAGATGATTCTTCATTATTCGAAATAAGTGCAACGCCATATGGATGAAATTGCCTATTGGCATCGGACGCACCGAAAACCACCAGCGGTAATTCATTTCATGTGATTTTGTACGTAGCATCAACTTGTAATGATTGAGTAAATTGAATTTGTTGAATTAAATTCTTCGTCGTAAAAAAAGTAAACAAGTCGTCGATATCATTAATACAATAAAATGGCACAATGGTTGAATGTGAATGAGTACCATCTTGATGATCACTACACAATTTGCGAAAATCGTACACTAAAAATGTTTCAGGACGATCCTTTCGACGTTGGCTTTGAACTAATGATGTTAACTTGGTTGATGACACTGGGATATTTGGACAATCTATTGAAACCGACGAGCGGATTTGAGTTGTTGTCATACCAATATCAACATATTTTGAAACCGTTTGCCGTATTGGAGACGGTAGTCTTGATGTTTGATTACGATATTCATGATTGTGAGTATCTCTAAACATTATTGTAATCGAGTTCACATCAATATCTGGTACAGATGTTTCAGGTTTATAACGACAGAATGGATATTTACGATATTAAGCACATTTATATGAGTGTTTTGTTTTGATCTCTAAGATTAGTTGTTCGATATCTGCACACACCATGTGGTTTAACAATAGTTTTCACGTCATCAAGTGAGTTGACAACATTGAATAGAATCTGATCCGACTTCGAAGTTGACATTTTTTCAAATGAAAATGGAAATGTATTTTTTCTACAGAAACACGCATCTTTATTATCAACTTATTTAATCATGATTGAAATGGCTTATCCATAAACTAATTGTTTTTATGACACATTAATTGGTCTGATCTTTATTAATAAAGCATTGAATATGATGTTATTTTTATCGCTTATTTACATCAAATAAGAAATTAGAAAATTAGAAATAAAAAAATGGTGATCAAAATTACCTAAATTTTTCGTAATCAAAAGTACTTTTCTCCTTCTTACTGAACCCTTAAAAGTTAAAAAGATAAAATCATATTTCGAATACAGAAAATAACTTCTGTTTTCTAAAACTTGAAACTAATGTAGCTGTGACTTGTCTTGCTACATATATACTTGCTAATCAATGCTGTTTTAGTACATAATAATAGTCTGTGTAAAGTTATACTGAATTCAAATCATGAAGTTGTTTATGTCAATGCCTTGCCAATCATATTTCAAGTTATCTGGTCATTAGCATTTCCATGCGTGCAGTTTTTCTTTGTTTAGTTAATAGAGTCTTTTTAATCATCTGTCAATATCACTCTGTATAGATTGAATCTATCATTATATATATAAACAGATTAGATAGAAATCTTATCAGAAAACATTTTTAAAGAAGGAATGAATATATTTATGTCTAAACTGTTGTTCGATTATATAGTTTTGCTTCAGATTAAACATACCACTTCATTTAATCTGTGTATAGTGAACATCAGTCAGTATTTCGGCACCAACTCGATTATATTCTACGACAGTGGTGGTATCAATAACTTCATACTAAAAAGCTGTTGTCTTCTTATTCAAGTGTGCATCTATGAAAAATTTGTTTCAATAAAAATAAGTATGGTTTAAAAAAGTAAAAACTTTATGCATTTCACGAAAAACTATTCTATATTTTTGAGCAGATGAAGAACGTAACTTTCATAATGACAAATATATCATATTATTTTATTTTCGTATTATGATCCAATATTGATGTAGTTTCATGGCGACATCTTCTAATTTAATAAATTTTGTGGTCATGACAACAAGGTTGTAGATGACTGAAAAGAAAGTGCAAATCGTTGAAATATTTGGCAATATATTTATTATATTCTGTTTTTTTTTACTTTGTCTGTGAATAATATAGTCGAAATTGGATATGGTATATTTTCGAATGGTGTTAAAAAAAAACAAATTTGAATAGTACATTCAAATAAATAAATTTAATTTGTTTTAAATTGCTGTTTTACTCGAGTATTACTACATCCGGTAAATGTATAAGTCACGTTGATGACAGCGAAGTTCTTCTTAAAATTAATAATTCCAAAGCATTCAAAATAGGTAAGTATAAGTGCAATTAAGATAAATATTGTTGCAGAACGTGCTTATATATATTCATTTGATATAAATAATAAATATGTAGAATAATTCAGTGATAATTGTTCAAAACTAAGTTGTACGTAAATATTTAAATAGAACAATGAGAATTATTGTGTTTGTTTTTGAAACAGATACAATGAATTTATGAATTCATGATCGATCTATCAAAACTGTTCAGAAAATAAAATTTGAATGATGATTCGACTGGTTGCAAACTTACGTCAAGTGACAATCATCTTTTTTACGAATGAGTCATACATTATTTATTCAGGAAAAATAAACTTTCAGCTGTTGCTGAACAAAAGTTAAAAAGAAAAAAAAATACGTATTTCTTTATTTCACAGTGTATGAATCATTGCTTTTAGATTTAGTGTTAAATAAGAAATTATGAATGATGCTGCACCACCACATAAGACTTTATATCGATGGGAAAAGCGTCAATCAGCACTTGATCAACCATCGAAACCAACAAAACACGGTAAAAAACATTAAAAAAAAAATACTGAAAGAAAGAAAACAACAATTCATGAAAATTAATTTAGATGATATTAAGACTTGGTTACGTCAAGTTGAAAATGCTTCATCGAATGCAGTTGAAACGGTTTTTCCACGTTCATCAGGTCGACAAACTGGAAAAATACTTGCCAATCAAGCAGCTACTTATGCTAAAACAATAGATACAACTCATACGGGTAAAGAAAAAAAACAACTTGTTTTCAAATTTTATTGTTTTCAAAAACTTCGTTATGGCTTTTTAGAAGCAAGAGCTATTCTTGATGAATGGATGAATGATAAACTTCGACTTGAAGCTGGTCTTAATGATAGTTATGATGAAGAAATAGTTCAATCAAATGTACGATCTGTTAAACAAGCCTGTAATCTTAGTTTTGATGATGATGATGATAATCAATTAGAATTTTTACGAGAACCAAAAGATTTATTAACGTTCCAAGATCCAAGTGTTTATTATGAAACACATGATGAAACTGATCTAGTCAAAGATATTCTTCATGGTTTGTTGTTTTCTTTTTCTATATAAAAATAAACTAATTAATAAAAACTAAAAATCTAGATTTGAGAAGTAAAGATATATTAACTCGACAACAATTAATTGCTATGGAAAAAAATAAATCATCAACTGTTGATATACAAACTAAAATTGAAGAACGGCATAGACAAGTATGAAGAAAAAATATATTGTTTTTTGATTTTTATTAAATTTTTATTTAATTGAGGTTAAAGAAAATCATGAAAAAATGCAAAAAGAACGTGAGCTTAAACAAAAACAACTACAAGCCAAAAAAGAAGCCGAAACTCAGGCTCGTCTTCTCGTTCTTAAGGTAAAGTTTTTTTTGTCTTCTATGATTTATTCTTTATTTGGTTTTCTATTTTATGCTGTAGGAAGAACGGGAACGTGCTTTAAAAGCTAAACAAGAAGAAGAAATGATCGAGCGACATGTTATTGAAATTCGAAAAGAAATGCATGAAAAACGTTTACAAGATGAAGATCAACGAAAACAGTATGCATGCAGGTTTTTTTAAACTCTGCAGAAAATAAAACCTTACCTATATGACTTTCTTTCGTTTATTGTTTAATCATGAAATTGTATAAATCTCGCTATTTCATTATAACAAGTTGACAAACAATATTAAAACTGATGATCAATAATTCTATGAGATTGTCTTGAATTCTAAAATAATGAATCATAAATAAAAAACACAATGAGCTAATCTCGTAAACTTCTTGATTATCAGACTGCTTTTCCTAGTATTACATGCAGATAAAGGCTTATAAACTGATACAGCGAAAAAATCATTTGGAAAGAATGAATTTGATGATAATGTTAAGAGTTCGATGAAAAAGTAATGAGTTAGGATTCTATTTTCGAATATAGGCTTAGAAATTTAGTCTCAGTTTTTTGTTCGCTGGTAGTGAAATAATTTTTACATAGTCGAAAAAATTTGTTTGAAGGAATTTTTTCTGTATATTCACTATTGTGACTCGAAACTAATAATTGGGATTTTTATTTACATATCAATTTGTAGATCAAAATTCATCTTACAAAATTCAGTGTCTGAAGTTTTCGTTTTGTCTTTCACCAAGACATATCAATGTTCGTTTTTTCTAAATAGCCATTTTTTGAACAATCGACAACCATTTTACTTTTAAAGGAGCAGTTGAAAAAATGCTTGTAGCCTCCCTTAAGTAAGAACTACAGTTTAGTTCACCATTAAAAATAATTTTTCAGTTCTTCGTCGAAAATACTTTCTAGCAGATCAAAGGTGAGCAAAAATCTTGTCTAAAAGTTTTTTGATCATTCGTTAGTTAACTTGTGTTAATTACTAGTGAAGTAATATTGAGTTATATTTGATAGGAGAATTTTTGAATTATTTAATTTTTTGTGTACATAAATTTAAATCTTTTTTCATAGTCAACGTGAATATGAAAATGCAAAATTAGAACGCACAAAAGCTGAACAAGAACGTACACGTAAAGAAGAAGAATTACAAAAATTAAAAGGAATAGCCCTTAAAGAACAACAGGATCTCAATGAAAAACGATTACACACATTAGTTGATGACTTTATTCGAATGAAATCATTGACAGTAAGTATTGATTAAAATGAAAAATCTTTATTTTAATAATTTTATTAATTATTTATTTAGATTGTACAAAAACATTTTTCTGCTTGGCTTAATGTTGTATTAGAACGACGTTTACGAATGGGTCGAGCAGCTGCATTAGCTGATTGGAAATTATTATTTCAGTATGTTAAAAATAAAAAGAACAAACAAATATTCATAATATCAATAAGAAATTTTTAGATCATTTAATTGGTGGAGAAGTATGGTTCGAACAAAAAGACTCGAAGAAGAAACTGAAGCACATATGACTGAAATGAAAATATTTTCAATGAAAATGCAACAAGCAAGTCTACATTATGAACGAACATTATTACGAAAGTATAGAATAATTTATTCTTTGTCGTAAACATCTTTTAACTTTATATTTATTAAGATCAATGATAATTTGGCAAATATATATTCGTAATGAACGTATTGCTAAAAATTTAAAATATGAACAAGAAACAACAAAGAAAAAAATTGATGCATTTCTTGAAGCTGCATCAACTGGTAAACTTTGGGAAAATGAACAACAAACACCACTACAAACAGCAACAACAACGAATTCTGCTGCTACAACAACTCGTCAACAATCTCAACAAATTAAAGCACGAAAAGTATCAATAACTACTCGTGCATCTTCATTAATTTCTCGATCACGTTCAGCTGTAACATTTGGTGATAAATCATCGTTTCCTACGAGAACTCAATCAGATATTAAACTTGATGATTTTTTTCAAACAACATCTCCACGCGATGAACAAGAAGAATCACAACGGGCGTAAGATTAAGTTTTAGATTTATTATCCCAAAAATAAATTGTTTCAGTTGATTGTTCGGAGAAAATAGTTAGATATTCTTTTGATGCTTGAAATTTTCTATCAATACGCATCCACTCTCATCGCTGCATCTACAAAAATTCTATTCAAATTTATCTGAAATATTTTCTTCTGAAATATTCAAGATAGGTATATATATAGGGACAGCCATATTGTGTATATACATCAACAGTACATTGTTTGATTATCTATTGACCTGATATAAAATGGATACCAAGATTATTCAGCAAGATTTATTTTCAATTTTTTCCACTGCTGTAAACGCTGCAAAGAGTCCAAAAAGTTATTCGAATAAAGAAAACTGTTTCCAAAAGAAAGATAAAGAAATACAAACTATTTTCAGATTTCCAAACGTAGGGACTCCAGGAGATCAAAAGGCTAGTTTTTCATCATCTAAAATGGGTCAGAATAATTTCTTTTAGGATACGCAGAACAATAGAGCCAATAATGCTCTAGAAAATCAGCCGTCACCGAGTTCTTTATGACATTTTCTAGCTGAGATAGAACAATCTTACGGAAACTCCTATAGCCGTTTTTTTCAATTTCCTATAGAAAACAATTTTTTTTACTTTCAATCAAATTGCAATATCTCAGCCAAAAAATGTGTTGCAGAGAACTCAGCCATGCTTCATTTTGTAGAAGATGGTTCACTCTATTCTTTTATATGATCTAAACAAAATTATATTTACACACTCTAAATATTGAAAAACAAGGTTCAGTGTTCTCTGGAGTGCACATATTTTTGTTGAAAACCATTTTCTCTATTCCAATCACTATCTGAATTCTTTCTAAAACTTACGGCAGCGAAAAAAAACTGAAAAGAACCCTTTTTGAATAATTTTGGCATTCACTGTACGAACGCATTGTTTAAGTTTCAAGACTACTGAAAAGACTTCATTAAAGATTCATAGAATAGAATTTACAAAATGGGATCTGTGGATATTTTATTAACTTTCATAATGTGTATTAGCAAGCAATTGCTATTTTCACACCTTGAAAAAGTACGATAGTGAATTTGAAACATCATTAGACTAGATGTGCAATATCAGGAAAAACAAAACATATCCATCTTTCATTTGACTTTGATTCTTTACAGGAGTTGTTTATCTAATTAGATTTTTAAAATATAATCATGTATAAAAATGTTGGTTCTTCGAATTGGTACTAAATTATAATTAATTAGTTAAAAAGTAATTGGTGAATACTTTTCTAATCATATGAGAGAAAAATCCAATAATGTTAGGATAGATTCCATGTTACAAACTACATCTATGGTAAAATTTTCAGCAATATCAAACTCTGAAAAGTTTCTTTTTAAAAGCCGGTTGCCTTATAGATTCAATAATATTTTGAAACAAAACTTTTGTTTTGCTATCATCTAAAGATTCTCAAGAAGGATTGCTGCGTCTGTTTGCAGTTTTTCTTTTAAGATGAAATGAATACAATGAAAGTTGAGGTGCTTTATAAGTCGTGTTGTTAACGTGACTTTTTAATGATAACTCGTCTCAACAAACAATAGTAGAGCTCAGTTTTGCAAGGTATCGAGATCAACTCAACACACATATGACATATAAAACTTAGCTCTGGAAAAATTTAGAATCCATAAATATACATATTTCAATTGTGCCAAGTCACTTCCCTAACGAATGAAATTGTCTATGTAGTATTTATCTTACCAAATACAAATTTCTTTGTTCATAATCAAATTTGAAAAACGTCAAATGCAAATATTTCTTTCGAAGATAGATTATCGTTCTATGCCTTTTGTTTTACAGCGTTAGTGCTGGTTTACCATTAGCAACTGATACACGTCGTATGCATCTTGATTTTGATGAATTATCAAGTAGTGATGAAGATTTAAGTAAGAAAAAAATGCGTGAAAAACGTATTCGTCTTGAAATGGCTGAACATAAATCCACGTCACGTGTTATGAACACATTTGAACATCGTTATAGTGCTCAGATGAAAATGCTTAAAGAACAAAATCGTTTACTAAAAGGTTTATTTTCTTTATTCAAATTTAATTTTTTCAAAATTCTTTTCATTAGATCAACAAAGAATGATAGAAGAACTTAAATATCAACAAGACCAACAAGTTCTTAATAATCAAATTTCAAATCTTGAAGCACTGAAAGCACAACAAGTGAAACAAACTTGTTAACTTCTTTTTGTTTTTGAAATAAAAGAAAAATTCATTTCTAGAATGAAACGGAGGAAAAACAACGAAAACAATTAGTAACTGATCGACGTCATGCAACTGCGCTTATTCAAGCACATAATCGTGGAGAATTACAACAACAATTAAATACAAGTCGATTGGAGTATGTTTCATCCTTCCCCTTAGAAATGAACTTTTTATTTTTCATCCGATTTCAACTTAAACTTTCAGAGAGTATTTGTCTTGACCAGAATAGATAATGAATAAAATATCTCTCTGAGTCTTCAAGATTTTCATGAGTTACAGTCAATTCATCGATCAAAAGTATCCTTTACGGAGGCAAGGTTTCCAATATCAGGACTCGAGCTGATATGTTTTAGGGTTTTTTAAATATAGAGTATGCATAGGGCTAGGACGTAATAGAGTCCAATTTCAGAATTTTCCTTTGTTTGCCTTTGTGTAAATGTTTTTTCGAAAAACTCTCAAATTCGTGACCAAAAAATCGTTAACTAAAATAAAAACTAAGTTTTTCATTTCAGCAAAGCAGAAATTCAAAAATCTGACTCTATTATGACCTAGTTCTAATTGTCTGCTGTATAATAAAAAAGAATTACTACTTTTATATTAAGTCGTTATTAAGAAAAATTTACCTGTGTGAGCGGTATACTCGAAAACATTAGTTTTGAGAAAACCGACAAAACAATGTTTTTGATTTAGTAAGCGTTTTTGTTCGACATAAGTTTACTTGTATTACTTTATATTTTTGCATTATTCGTCAAACTTTGTTAGATGACGTTTATGCGCATATATCATATCGCTCCTAGAAATACAAATCAAGTCAAAGTTGTTTGTTATTACTCCTTATACGTAGATATGGAGTAGGTTGGGAGTATCGGTAAAGATAAGACCTCTATTTTACCCAGAGATCTCACCCCAAATATGCTCACTCGATTCAATATCACTGAAACCTATATGACATTAACTTTTATGCTATAAAGCTATAAAAGTTTCCATACAATACAAGTTCATATAAACTCATCAGAAAAAAAACCAACCTTCTTTCGATAAGAAAATGATATCAAGTTAAAGCTCATTTCAAGGACTATTACAATAGATACAAATCTCGAAATCAAGTCTTTTGGACAATTGACTTTTCTGACAAGAATTAAAAGCTTCTACTGTTTTTTTTTCATTGAATTTTCCAATAGTCAAACATTCACTGATCGACCAACAACAAGAAATGACATGTGGTTAGCAAATATGGAAGAACGAGCGCGAAGACGATATACATTAAAAACTGAACGTGAAGCAAAACGACGAGCTATTGAAGACGAAAAATTAGCTAAAGTGCAACGTATGAAAAATAAAATTAGAACAACATTCTTTAAAAAGAGACAACAAAAATTTGTGATAATTTTTTTGTAGAAATGATGGAAGACAAAGTTCGTCAAGAAGAAGAAGAAAAACGACTAAAAGCTGAAGAAGCACGAGAAAAACGTCGCCTTGAAAAAGAACGTGAAATAGAAAGAAAACATTTCGAAGAACGTTTACGATTATTGACTGAAAAAGCTGATATTCACTGCAGGTGAAAATTTATTCTCTATTTTAAATAGATAAAAAACACATTTTAAGATATTTCATCTCTAGAATCTATCGTATGCGTTATTATGGATTAAATCCATTAAAAAAACTTGTTTTAATTCGTCATCAACAGATGCAAACAGCTGAAGAACATTATAATTATATAATTGTACAACGTACATTTAATGTTTGGTATGAAACAATACGACGAGATATTGAAATAAAAACTAATCGAGCTATAGAATTTCATAAAAATTTACTTTATCATCGATATTTTATATCATGGCAACGATATAAACATCAAACAGAAATAGCTGAAGAACGAGCTGAAAGACATTATATGAATCATTTAATGATAAATACATTTAAAATTTGGCAAGATTATACACAAACGGAAATCATACGTTTTTGGCGTTTAGATGATTTAGCTAAAGAACATAATGTTAAAAGAGTTTTAAAAAATACATTTATTATTTGGCGTCAATATCCAATGGAAAGACGAAAAGAACGTGAAAGAGAAAAACGATTGGCAGAAATGCGTTCAAAAGTTAAAGATTTATTGCCGGATTTTCGAGGAACAGAATCATCATCATTGAATGGAGTTAATGGCAGTGATAATAAAACTTAATTGTTTTTCATGTCATTGTTTTTTTGTATATTTTATTCAATGTTGTTCTTTTTTAAATCGATAGCGATTATCTGTACGCCTACAACATAACATAAAAGAACTTTTCTATCTTTGATGATTAATCATCATAGGATTGGCAAAGTAGCTAATATAATTCAGGCTGTATTGTTTTCTATATAGCGAAAACTGGGGCGCAAAGAAAAGAAAAGAAAAAAAATATTAGTGCACATGGTATGTCGACTTAATGCCTTTTCTCTCTTTTTTTTTGCTTCCTCTCATGGAAGCAATTTTGTGAGACACACGACAAATGCTAAACAACATGTAGTTTTTTTTTCTAACAATGAAAGAGATCGCGAATTTTACGATNGATGATTTATTTAAACCAAAATCATCATCAAAAAATACGGATACATTCAGCACTGATTGGGAAATTGTTGATCGACATACTCCAACTAAAGATTTCGGATTCAGTGGAACGAATAGTTCATCATATTCTAATAATGATACTTCAAGGTATGCAAAAAATTTGAAAAAAAAATATTATGTTCAAATCATTGCATATTTTTCGAATTAGTTCATCATCAAAATCAAAAACTCAATCATCTACATCTTATCCTGAAGGAAATAATAGTGAAGCACAAAAACGTTTTTCCAATGCTAAAGCTATATCAAGTGATCAATTTTTTAATAAAGATTCCGATGTACGTATGTGATCGTCGTACATGTATTAATCAAATTAAAAGAAATCCATACCAATTTTCATTATATTTTTTGCTGCATGTATTTTAATATAAACAACAACAAAATAAAGTCAAGCATTTGTTTTCTTTTGGGTCTTTTCCTTACTAATCAACACTTTCTGATAATGTGCACGTGCTAATCTAAATCAAACTTCTATGACAAATGCTTGCGCTTGTAGTTTTTAAATTTGAATTTGATCATATATAAATAATAATAATAAATTATTTTTTCTATCAATGAAAATTTGGTACTAAAAAAAAACTTTTTTTTTTCTGTTTTGATTTGGTTTCTTGTAGAATCAAAACAATGTAATATCACGTTTTCAAGGAAGTGCAAGTATTTCAAGTGAAGATTTTTTTGATGATCCAAATAAAAAAAAACAAGATCGTTCAACTTATCAAAGTCCTGATTTATCAGGCATGACAGCTGATTTTAAAGAAGGTGTATCGAAAGCAGCCAATAAATTATCATCGTTAGCCAGTAATGTTATGTCAAGCATGCAGGTAGGAATAAAGAACAAAAAAAAATTAAACCACACTTTCTTTTTTCTCGTTAACATTTATCATAAAAAATTTAAATATTTTTTTACAGAAAAAATAAAATTCTACTAATAACGAAATCGGTAAGAATAGTCACTAAACTGTATGTGAATGTTTATGGTATTAGGTTATTAATCACTTATGAATTTTCATTGTGTATCATCAATGAGTCATTTAAAAGAAACGATTTCAAATTGTTTTGTTTTGTATTTTGTAGGATCGGTATTAAGATTGTTTGACAAGAACTATTTGGGATTCGTGTCATTTTTCATCTCATCATCTATATAAAATTATTGTTTTTTTTTTTCTTTATGTCATAGTTTTATTTTTTATTCGCTGTGCAAGAAGAATATTTAACATCGATTACTACAATACTTCTTCATCACGGTTCTCATTTTTCTTTGTTGGCTGCTTTCGCTATTTTTTTCTCATTTTTACTTGTTTTTTTTTTCTTCTTTTTAATTTGCCTTCAAAAAGACATTTGTCCTTTCTATCTAGATGTATATATATATTTACATATATATTTACATAATAAAAATAGAACATATGTCGAATTATCAATTCCGAAAACGTTGTATTGATATCAAAGCTGGCATGATATATACTGTTTTGTATAGTAGTCAAGTTAATATAAAACGAAACTTTGTTTTTTTTATTTTTACTTGTTAATAGTGATGAGTATGTGAAGCTCTAGTGGAAGTGTCAACATTTGCTATGTCACTATTAAAAAAATGCAAACAACAATCTATACTAAAATCAATCGCTTTTACTCCTTTTCTCTATATATATGAAGGCAAAATGATTATATTTTTTTCCAATTCATTAGAGAAGTGCTTCTATTTTCCTCAACCGACGAGAAAAAAAGAGAAACGAGAGAAAATGTCGAAGAAGAGTAAGGAATGCAATAGCAGCGTATGAAAAAGAAAAAAAAAGAAGCGAACGTTACTTCCATCTGTAATATTTGTCGTTTCTTAACATCGACGAAGAACAATATAAGTCTCTTGGCGCCTCATCATTGATCACAATAATAAAAAATTCTTGTAAATAGAAGGTCGAACACAGAACGTAACAAAATATAATTATACATTCAATAAGTAGACTATCAACAGGTGTAAACATTTTAAAATTCTGTATGTATTTCACCTGCTACTACTGAATCTTATATATACGATTAGAAACAAATGAAATACACAATTACACGGCAATTTTCATTACGAAAGAAAAAATTTGAAATTATTAGTGGTTCAAAAACTGTATATGCAGTGAAAGCTACGCCTTCTAAAGAACATAAGGGTCAATTCAAGTAATAATCAACTTCATATTTATTTTTTTTTCTATGTAAGGCATAATTTTTTTTTTCTAGTGTTCAAATATCAAATCCAATATCCAAATATATCAATAATGAATACTGTGTTATAGAACCAGATTCAAAGACTCCTCGAAATTATTTAATATATATAGTAAATGATGAATCGAATAAGAAAACTCTTTTTGGACAATTATTTTATGAAATTTGTATTTATAATAACTGTCTTTATACAATTGTTATTGGAAGAAAATTATATAAAGTACGAAGTTCCGATTTAAAAGATCGGCGTTTAGCTATTATAGATACTTTTGAACAAAATAATCCATCGAAATTAGATCAATATCCAACGTTTCAATGTCCACAAATATTATTTCAAGTTATTGATACATTTTCAAAATCAAATAAAGCATACCATGTTACTATAAATGATAAAGAACAACATCTTGGATATCTTGCTATTGTTATTCTGCTTGATCTTCATGAATGTAAATTAGATTGATATTAAGAAAAATTAATGAAACTTATATGATTCTTTATTTTATGCGGAAAAAAAAGTTATTTTTTTGCTATATAAAAAAATCTTGTAAAAAAGAAATTATATGTTTATGAAACAATAATTATTTGTAAACATGAAATATGAATTATTTTATCGTGTTAGAAATCAAACAAATGCCGTTAGAAATCTAAATGTAATATTAAATCGATATAATACTTCATAGTAAGGGCTCGTTTCAGATAAATGAGAAGCCGTTTCTTTTCTCAAGGTATATCTTATCGATAAAATGTTAGATTAGTTGCTAAATGTTACATATATTGAATGATTGATTTCTAATGGATCATTTATGTAACTTAGAATCAAAGCAACTTATACTTATTCGATTTGCTTATTTGACATATGATTGTGATGTTACATTATTTTTATTCGTTAGGTTTTTTTACAATTATAAGTCATTGACATAGTTCATTTTTATTCTGATCAATCAAAAAATAATGTCAGAAATAACCAATTTTGACTCTTCTTTTCGAACGCTTATGCAGCAGATCATTATTGAAATTAGTCGCATATAAATCAGTAATTGAGAATTTTAGTACAATGATATTAAAATCAAATGCATAGCATGAACATGTTCAACAAACAAAAAAAAGTGCTCGATCAGACAGATGATTCTGATTATTGTTCTAAAGGAATAATTATTTATCAACTTTATATATATGTATGATATACTTTTAAAATCTTTGAAGGAAGTGGGAACAGCTACTTTTTAACCATGACTCGCAAAATAAATTTTTCAATAGGCTAAAATAACATAATGATATTTACTGAATCCAATATCATATGCAAATCTAAGAAAAATTACCAGAAATCGATTATAGTAAATGCTTTTAGGGTTGCTCTTACCCTGACCAAATATTTATTTCTATTAGTTATTTACTCGTTATAAATAATACGACACTTAGACTAATATTTGATTTGAATAAAATCATACTCTTACATCTTATATTACGGTCTCTTTAAAATGTAATCTTTAATGTATTTTGGCTTAACAATTACCGGAGTATCTGATTGTTTTTTTTTTATCCAAACAAGATGTCTAAAATTTGTCTAATACAGAAATAATAATAAAGTTATGTAAGCATAAATATCAGCATTCAATCGATATTATTTGGCAGAAAAACAATAGATTGAATATGATGAGTCTAAAATCGTGTAGACTAAATAATTTAACACTTGTAGTATTGTATCAATATATAATACATTTAAAAAAAAAACATTTATAAGATAAATTTTAACTCGTGAACTAATTACATCACGCAACCTATTTTTATTTCTAGTCTTATTACAGTAATCTTCTTTCTTTATCAAACTATTCGACGGTGTTCAGTGCATTTATTTCCTTTACTTTACTTTCTACTCACAAGATTTCTATCGTCATCATTTTTCTTTTCCTTCTTTTCTCTTTAATGAAAACGCCCGAATAGATTGTCATCGACATTTTTCTTTGTAACTGTCATCAGTTTTATGCTTGATGACAGTTTTTGTCAGTCACTGAAAAAAAACATCATTTGTTGCTCAACGCTATACTTCCTCTTCATTTTAATACTTTTAAGAGTTTTCAAGAAGGAGACGTTTTTAAACAAACAAATCTATATTAGCATACGTTAGCATGTTTCCTGGTGACTTGTTAGTTTTTTTTCCTAGTAACCATGTTTCTCGTTTTATTCCTTTTTCAAATTTATTTTGCTTTTTCTTTTTTCTACTTCACATTTTATCTTTGCATTCTAATACTTTTCTTTTCTGATTTTTTTATAATGCAAAATACAATCATTTTTATTTCTCTGTATTTTAGTTATTTGAATTTTTTAAGTTTGTTCATATCTACTCAATGTATTCTTTGATTCATTAGTTCAGTTTGATTTAAAGAAAAATGGATATGTTACCTGCTTTGAGAAACATCAAAGGAAATCGTAAGAGATTTTACCAACAGTGAATAGAGTTTTCTAGTTGTTAACGTCATTTAATCCTACCTATCCGAGTGTAATTGCGTTTTCCATTATTTTACAATTAACTTGGAGACATTCGTAATATTTTAAATTAAAATATAGAAGATACAAGTATACTTCGACAAATGAGAGATATCAAAGATTTTTGTAGCAAATTTATTTATTATATGTAGAAAAGTTTTATGATAAGCAAAGACTGTAAGTTGTATCTGAAAAAATAAAAAGACACCGAACTACTGTAGTTGACTTGTAAGATAAAATTTGAAAACTACTTTTCTGAAAATCTTCTAGAAATCGTTATCTTCATAATAATTTCTATTGTGAATTGATCAGATTTCATCATTATACTTAAATCTTTCAAACATTCTACTGATTCATTGCATTCTAATTCATGCTACATAGATACAATCAGCAAAACACATAAGAAATTTTGCATAGCGTATAACAAAGTACACACATTGATTAAAGTGAGTATAAACGTCAATAAATTTTGCAAAGCATCATACATCCTACATGTATTTTATGCAATCGAGTGCCAACAGAAAGGAATTCTTAAATTGAACTATTCTGATGTTAAACACATGATCGGATATAGTTACGAGCATTACTAACTTTTAAATCTTCTTAATGGAAATTTTTACTTTTAAGTCTTTTACATCAGATGCACAATGAAATCTTTTCATAGATTTCAATTCTCAACTCGTGTTGCTTTTTACTGCATAAAAAGTTTCGGAAATAAACGATTCAAGTCTCATTCAGTATTTATATGGAAAAGTGTGTATCTCTAACGCTTGTTTCTTTATCAAAGTATTAAACTTAATCTGTTTCATATTTATTATTAGTCGTTATTTAAGGTGCCAGAGATGCAAAATTAAAGCAGAGTTCTTTTGTGTATCGTAGGGTAGAGCATGACGAGCTGATCAAGAATTTGTGTGCTTTCATTTATGGAATGAATTTTTAGAAGAAAATTCCAGTTTTTTTCGATGATCTACGTTTTTTAAAAAAGACATCAATTTTTTTCTTTCCTTCAAATTTCAAAAGTGTTTGTTAAAAATTCAGTATGCAACACTGAATCTAGGAAAGTCATTTATAAATGACTTTCCTAGATTCAGTTTTGCATACTGAATTTTTAACAAACANCATCTAGAGATGATTGTACTTACAAAGTATAAGTTGATTTTTTCACCATTTTATTCTGTTGCTGAGAAACCCCATTTTTATTGAAATTCATATCAGACTCGTACTTTTCTTAACCTATATTTATCTGCTTTCTCTGCATTTTACTACTCTTGCACTCAAAACAAGCGTATACTCTAAGTCAGCGCAGAAAACTGATTGAATGCGAGAGTGGTAAAATGCAGGGAAAGCAGGCAAATATAGGTTAAGAAAAGTACGAGTCTGACATGAATTTCAATAAAAATGGGGTTTCTCAGCAACAGAATAAAATGGCGAAAAAATCAACTTATACTTTCTAAGTACAATCATCTCTAGATGTTCAAATGAGACATGAAGGTCAGTTGTATATCGTTAGAGAAAAAATATTTCGATAATATTACAAAATGCTTGTCTGAAATTTGGATTCTTCTACCCTTGTGGTATCTAATTATGATCATGCTCTATCTGAATTGTCTCATAAATGACTTTCCTAGATTCAGTTTTGCATACTGAATTTTTAACAAACACTTTTGAAATTTGAAGGAAAGAAAAAAATTGATGTCTTTTTTAAAAAATGTAGATCATCGAAAAAAACTGGAATTTTCTTCTAAAAATTCATTCCATAAATGAAAACACACAGATTCTTGATCAGCTCGTCATGCTCTACCCTATGATACACAAAAACAATTTTCTTTAATTGAGCTTTTCTGCCATCCTAAACAAAACAACACAATAGTAGCCACTCGTTACTGTGATATTCCTTTTAGTTAAATATTTTACACCCTTCTACCAAAATGCCAATAAACTATTCTCAGTGTTTGAGTCTTCTACTTTCTTTGAATTTTCTCGATAGTATCAACAATCACCACTTTTAATGCTGCTATAAATAATTGTTTGCTTTTTATCTTGTTTCCAGGCAAGTAAACTTAGTGAATAAAATTTTTCTTCTTATTTGTTACTCTGGTGATAGAAACTGAAGTATTTTTTTGACGGTGTCATGTCGTTTTTTTCTTCCAACTCTTTTTTAATTCTCTCCGTTCTTCGCCTTTTGAATTTTCTTTAGTCAAGCGGAACTGATATTATTAATTTTAGCAGTTAAATCCTTCAAAAATTTGTCACTTTTTCGTCTAACAAGAAAAAGAGAATATTATTCCTATTCTTTTGAGCTTAATTTTTCTTGATATAAAAACAACTGACAAGGAAACATTTCAAGGTGTCCCTTCGCTTTTTAGTCGGAACTTTGTATATGTTGGAGATTTTAAATAGCCTATGTCTATTATAAAAAGAGCTCGTGTTCATGACTTTTTTTTCGAAAAGATCAAACATTTTCCGTGAATTTCAGTTCTGGAATCCTACATTTGTAGCAAGACTATGTTTTGAAATTTCAGTCTAAAACTTTGACCAGACAAAGCCGCCAGTTAGGCTAGTTTGCATAAAAATCTCAGATTTCTTGGAGTAAGCCTCTTGGAGACGTGATGTTGTCAAAAGATACATGTTATATATACTATCTATGAAAAACAGTCTATATCTTAAAAGTTCTACATCTCCGAGACATTTAGTTCGAAAATTCTGAAATTTTTTTACACAAGATGATCTAATTGACTTCTTTATGTGGGCATATTTTTCGACTAATTTTTAAAAATATAATCTTGCTGCAAATATGTAGTCTTAAAGCTAAAATTCACTAAAAACGTTTGATCTCACCAAAAGCCACTCATGAGCACGAATTGTTTTTATGGTAGGCATAGTTCACTATGGTCGACAACATCTACTAAGTTGTGACTGGAAAAGTGAACGAACACCTGAGATACTCTCGTTTTAGTGTTGATAGTGGAAACGCATCAAAATTCTATCGTTTATTCTGTCAATATTGCTATAAAAGTTTTCATATCTTTTCTTTCAATAAACTTTTAGTGTAACGAACATACTGCTTGTATACGATTTATCATACTAAAAAATGTATGCAGGAAACTGCGATCTCATGACACATGACGGCCAATTTTTTGATATTACTCACACATTCAAAGTCGGTTCGTCGACATATCACGTTCTTGGTCTTCGTAAAGAACGTCCAACTTATAGGAATACTTATTATATTTTTAATTGTATGGATGATCAACATGAGTCAACAAACCGATCGTTATCGAAATCTTCATCGCTCAAACGTTCGGTAACAGTATCTGAGCATACATCATGGCCCAAAAATCGTCCGCTTACAGCTCGTCACACAACAACTATTTCAGCTAATGATTTTACTACTAGCTCAACACAAAAGACAAAGTCTACTGCTTCTCATCTTCGTGCACGTACTGAATCACCTAAAAGAGTGGACATTGATATAACAACTCTCAAAGAGACATTCACTAAAGCAATGAGAACTGAACGACAACTACTTGTTGGTTCACTTCGAAAAGAAATGAATATGAAGAAGAGAACATTACTTCGAACAATTAAAAAGGAAAAAGAAGTGATTTTACAAGCAACAACAGAAGCTAACAATAAGGAAGAAATAATTCGTCTATTAGAAGAACAAAAAACTTCGTTGGCGATTGCATTTGAAAAGTGTGTTAGTACTACTGCCGGTTCTATTGATACTTTAAAACAGATATTACTAGAAACTCTAGATGCACATCATAATACGTCGCAATCAATGGAACAACTTCAACTTACTCTAATCCAGACAATAGAGCAAGAAGTACAAAAGCTTATATTGAAAAATGAAGAAATTCTTAAATCGACATCTACTGAAACTAATGCTATCAACCAATTACAAAATACTCTCGTTCAAAAGATAGAAGATTCTTCTACTGCAAAGAAGCATAATGATGAAGCAACATTAAATCGCTTATTTGCTGAACAGCAACAAGCGTTAACTGATGCAGTTGTACAACAACAACAACAACAAGCACTTTCACTGGATCTTATCAAACAAACAATGATTGATGTAATTAAAGACCAACAATTATTGCCTGTCAACATTACTAATAATATGAAAACTCCACAACAATCAAACGATGACACCATCACTAATATATTAGGTCAACATACTTCAATGAACAGTAATACTATCGATAACAATCATGTTCATAGTTTGTCTAGAAAGAAATCGATTCAATATTCACGCATCTATAACCAATCTTTATCAAAAGCAGCTTTAAAAAAATCGCCAGATCAACATTTTTTCAAAGTCTCTATCAAATCACCAGAGCCCGCTCATGTATTTACTAAGTTAGTTATTGGTGGCACGGAATATTCAAGACGGTTGTATACGTTATGCCAACGTGATGTGATTCAAAAGGATGTATTAAATTTTTATTTTGCCCCTCCTGCTAAAGATGGTCCATACGAAATCACTATTTATGCCAAAACGAACAAGGAAACGATATATCGAGCAGCCATCTGTATACGATTACCTGGATCGAACATTTCTCAATCAGTCCCGTTTCCAATAGTGTATCCATCATTTGAAGAGCATCAATGTATTTTGATTGAACCATTTCAGGGTCTGTTACGACAAAATGAACAAGTACTAATACATATGATCGTACCCGGTGCTCACAGTGTGAAAGTTCAAAATGGTGATGATAATATTGAACTCGATGTAGATGAGTATAAAGAACAAGTTGTTAAGAAGAAAATACGAGTTCGAGGCCATGTACATATTATCGGTTGTTGGGAGAAAAAAACTGATGCAACTATTTGTGTGTTCAAAATGATTTGTTAACTTTATCTAGTCTCCATTTGACTAGCTGTCGTCTGTCACATTATTTGTCATTTTAAAAGCCTTAATAACTAAATATATAAACAAAACGAAACGAAACATAACACTGTGTTGTTTTTCAATGGAGAAAAAATCTGTAGAAGATCGAGTTCTTTGAGTTAGATCATCATGGAGTCCCCACACTGAGAACTAGTGAGGTCAGTACAATGGCAGATAGCGTGAAGAGATTCTTCTAATGAGATTTATTTGTTCAATCTAAAATAAGAATTGATGAAAGTATTTTGTAAAAAATTTGAGAAACTTGACAATAGGTATATGAGTAAGCCAAAGCCATTGCAGGTAAATCATAATCTTAATTTTCCAATCAACTATTTCAAGCCATCGATACATTTCAAGTTTAAACATTTTTTGTTTACTTGATAAAAAGACAACAAGTAACAATCTTTGACAATTATATTAGTCAACTCACGGTTGATGGTTCCGGTTGCCGGAGACAGCAGAAACTGGAGAAAAAAGATCTATTTTCCGATCAATTCCTGTAAGTTCCTACTGTATATCTGTCGGAAACGACCAGAAAAGTACATTGAAGATGAAGGTAGTAATTTAGCTAGAAAATCACTGTACTGAAATCGACTTTTTCCAAACGTATCCCGTCATTGAAATAAAAAGGGAAGTATACCATCGCGGACAAAAACAAGACAAGCCCATCCGAAATAATCCGGGTGTGGATGTGTTTTTCTTGTGCGGATAATCAGAAGTGATAGAGTGATATAGAATGTGAGTGATGAATGTCAATGTTTCTTTTATATCCTTGGATGTTTGTGATTGCTTCTGGTATGTGACGTCATCTTTTGTGATGGCAGTAGAAGAAAACAGTATGTGCATTAGCATGTTGTGAAAAAGTACTCTATTAGTTACTCTTTGTGGGTGATGGAGTCTGCACTAAAATCATGACTCTCTTCTTTCTGCTATTATTCAAAAGTTTAGATAGCATGTGTTAGATCTAATCTATTAAATTCGTTGTCTTTCATTTGTTTATATGTTTACGTGCTGATGTTCGTGTGCACTTCTTTATTATATATATATAATACCTTTTACTATATCATATATGTATGTATAAGAAGAACAGAAAGAAAACAATGTACCAATAGAGAAGATCAAAGAGATGAAATAAAGTGGAGGAAAATATGAGAAGTGATTGCGACAACCGACGACATCACCCTAACAGCATGGTTTTCTGTTTTGAAATCGTTCAAGAAATCGCTGAAAGGTTTTTTTGTGTGAATCGGATTTATAAAAGATTTGCATTTTTACCTACCACACACCTGCACAGGTATGCGAAGTATCTATAAGTGTGACTGTAACTACGAAGAATCCTAGAAAGATGTTAACATTTGAACAACTAAAAACCATGCAGCTCAGTCTGCACATGCATCAATAGATTTTCATGTGAACCACTGAGTATGTGAAACGATACAGTTTTTTTGACTCGATCATGCTATGTACTCAAAAGTTAGAGCAAAAATAGGTTGATAGATGCCAATGCTCGACCCTAAAATTTCTGGTTTTTCAAAGTGTACACATCTGTTAGAGACGCTCTGTATTTAGACAGTTATCGAGAAGTTTAACGTTTGATTACATTCGGTGAACTTTGATTGGCAAAGATATGAATGTAGGTGTGAGTGTAGCATGATTGTTCTCATCATTCACACTCCATCGAGGGGGAAAACAACTGAGACTTCAGTTTTGAAATCACATGAAATCTCAGAAGTCTCTTGAAGTCTCTTAAAGTTTGGTGAAGTTTTATGAAATCTCATGAAGTCTTCTGGATCTTTTGACGTACATTTAGTGCACGGAAAATTCATGAGGAACCGAATGAAATAGTGAGATTTTTGATAATCTTATTTTAGCAGAAATGTGAACTTTTATTGTTTTGTCAATCTGCTGGAAAAGTCCATGCTCGTTTGAACTTAAACAAAGGCATAGTTAATCGTTCAATTCTTTTTAATGAAGTTATTTCTTTCCATAAGAAGTGTTCTATCAATTCGATATAAATTGTATGAAGAATTTTAATCTTTTTTGTTTGTTTCTATCACTCGTGAAAGTCTATCAGCCGATAAACGGCTAGCTTTATCGGTCAATAACCAACAAGCCATTTGCTTATGTATAAATTTAGGCTTGTTATTTATTTGCACCTGAAAATAAGAGCTTTTCAATGCTGAATTGATCGAATCAAATATACGTATACCATTAAAGTTCATCTTATTAATTTCAATTTCATCAACACTTTGTCTGATTGTCACATCTTGATCTTCTTCATCTAAGTTGAACAGATCATTATCAACTTCATTAGCTTCCATTTTTTCATCATCATAGTCAGATTCAGACTTTGATGACAACTCTGAATCAGCTATCGAATAATTATCTGAATTAATGTTCAATCTAACACTGACAAATATATTTTTACTTAAATCATGTAGATCAAAAGTATTGTATGTTTTTAACGAAGTTAATATATTGAACTTACTAACTGGCTCTTTTGCATAATTAAATGCAGCTATAATTTTTATTTCAAATTACTATGGGTATTTATCGTTGAAACAAATGTTAAAATTATGAAAAATGATTATGAATAAGTTTTACATTGATGATGGATTGAAATTAAATTTAATCTGATGATGACGAAAAAAGAATAAATCCGTTGAAAATTCACTAATTTTGAAATAAAAACTTTAGCTGCATTTTCTTTTATTATTGAGTTTAGACATATATCTACCCTTGTATAGAATTATGAAAGGAAACTCTTTTGCTATCTTTATCTAATAGATAGTGTGTTTTGCATGGTACAGAAATTATGTGCCATTTTTAAGGCTTCTCGAACACTCAAGTAGTCTCGAAGTCTCATGAAGTCTCTTGAAATCTCTTGAAGTTTCTTGAAGTCTTTAGAAGTCTTTTTAAAATTTGAGGTCTCTATTATTGAAGTCTCTTGAACTCTTGTAGTCTGAAGTTCGCTGTTTACCCCTTGAAAAATAAGGTTAGTATACAATAAAAAATTTCTTAGTTCCACATAACGGATAGCATAACAATCAAAAAGTAGTTAATACATGTCTATAATAAATTACTCCATCTGAACGGATGATGTGTATCTTATAGAAAAATTATTTCAAGGATTCTTGTTGTTCGCCATCATTTCTACACTTACATCGTGTTCTTCGAATAAAAAACAAAAATTTGGCCCACACTTTTCTATTTCTATAGTCTTTCTTAATCGAGAAACACTTCTAATAGCGACATACTATTTTTGTGCGATTCGTAGGGTTACATCGAGGATTTTATTTATTGTTTTTAAAAATTACTTTGTATTGTTTTCATATCAATACAAAAATAGGATTAATAATTATACGACAAATATCAATATGAATATTTCAATTTTCTTTAAATTATACGAACAGCTTGTATTCATGGCCTCAAATTAGAACTAATTATGAAGGAAGTAGTGTGCGTAATCTGAAGAAAGGTTCATTCCCTTTTATCTTTCCTTTCTTCCTTGTATGAACACATGATAGAACTTAAGAGAAAAGGAATATTATGAACGGAATGAAAACAATATATTTTATATATTCTTTCTGAAAATAAAATAAGAACATGTTTTCTGAGAGCTACGTTATATGTTCAACTAATATTTTGATGTAGTACTAAATCCTTTTATAGCTCTATCTCTGTTCATGGTCTAAGTGTTGTTGTTATACTAAACAGCAGATATTTTTGCAATCAGTTGCCAAGAGAAATTGTAAAGCAGGAAAGAATCAGCAGCACATCTACTCTTCATAGGAAGAAACTTGAAAAGTTTGAAATTTTCTCCACCATACACTCATTATTTTTATATCTACAGTACTAACTGCTCTGTTTCTTGTATTATTTCACTTGTAAACCTTCGGTGCCGTAGGTCTTCTAGCCTAATTTGTTCTATACTTTTCTTTCTGTGTTTCTTTTTTTCACTTTCCTTGATGTATCTCGACCGTTTTTCTCTATTATCCGTTTCCATTGTTCATTTGCTTCTCTTGGATATCCTTCGTCGTTCTTAGTCCACGCCTTTCATCTATCTCTTTCATTTATTTTAAAAGTACCACTTTCATTAACAAAAAATAATTCGGTATCATACACGGTGCCCAATATTATAACTATATTTTTTTTAAATATGAGGAGACGTTTAGCATAAGTTCAGTATAAATATTAAAAGCTTCCTACGTATACAAATGAAAGTTCATAGTCATCTATTTCATCATTTGTCTTACAGTACCAGCTGATAATGAAGATGAAAATGGAACATCAATAGTGACAACAGATTCAATAAATACACAATCTCTGCAACAAATACGATTGTAATTTTTCCTACAAGATTAAAATATTTTTCGTTGCAGTGTTCTACTCGTTTATACCTTATCTGATTCCAACTGCATTATCACAAAACTTAATACAAAATACATTGGTAGCATTGTAGAAAACTGTATATAAACTAAATCACTCAATTAAGGAGGTTATTAATCAACAAATGTTGATTCAAGAAGAGCTTTAAGTGTGTGGTCATTTGTCAAGAAATTAATAACAAACGTTACCAATATGATAAATGTAAGAGGATATTCTTCCGAAAACATTTTTCAACAAGTTGTATGGGAAACATTTAAGCCCATGTTTAAGAAGAAGGGAATGTTTCGTATCAAAAACCAATAAATCAAACAGTGTTCGTCGACTTATCTAAACAAAATTAGTAAATTGAATGATTACGTTGACGAACGTCTTATCAAAGGTAGTCAATATGACAATAATTTATTGCAATCTGTCGTCGAGCAGCTAATAAAACAATTCTTACCTAGTAAGCTAACTGCATGAAATATCGTTTTATAAGTTTTTTAGTATATGGCTCCTTGATAATACTGCTTGAAAAATCCTATTTTATTTCAGAAAGTTTTAATTGTGAATTGTAAAATGTAAAGAAACTTTGTATTAAACAAAGAATAGGTTTTTTAAATGTATCTGAGAAGATGAATGGATACAAAATACGATTTCAATGAGTAAAGATATATTTCAGACTGTATCACTGATCGATACAATTGTCTCATGTATATAAGTCTATATCAAGAACGGTTTTACTTCAAATCATTATGCAATATTACTATGTACAAGATAAATTAGTGGTTGATCTTGTCAGGTATCAATTAGTGATTATCTAATTGTAATTGGATAAATGTTTTCTCATAAAATGAGATGAACATAGCTAAGAGTATGTGACAGTTATTTGGAATAAATCAGAACTTTTTGTCTACTTTTCATTGTTAAAAAACAATTAAGCTTTAACAAGCGAAAAATTAAATAAAACACTGATAAGTATGACAGCTTTGTTTTATTGTCAATTTTCAAATTTACGTACTTATTCAGTTATTTCCTTGAATTTATAATAGTGAATATATAATATCTTAAAATAAGAGGAGTGCGCAAATACGATTACAACTTGTAATTACATGTCATTGCATGAATTCTAGACTCCTAGATTTTTTAGGAGTATATATGGGGTGTGGTAGTTACATAGGAACATTACATGTAATTGGTCAATGTAACCACTTCATCCCATATATACCCCCAGCAAACCTAGAAATCTAGAATTCATGTACTGACATGTAATTACAAGTTATATCCGTACTTGTGCATCTCTGGATTGAATTCATTGTTGGCCTATTGTGATTCAAATTAATATAATATATTATTAAATAAGAAAAAAAATCTTGCGAGAACAGTCCCTTTTGGGGCTGAAATGTGGAACTTACATATGCACTGTAGCCAAGTTAAACTAATACAAAATACACAAAGTGATAAATCTCTCGCAGACTATAGCTGTTTTACAGAATAATCCATGTCTAGAATAATGATCTCTCTAATTTCTGCATTTCGAACAGAATTTCTTTATTTTTTTCTATGGGCACCCTACTTCCTGTTTTGCACTGTTGCTATTCGCTCATTATTTCTCATTTTTTTATTCGTTCTTCTTAATTTTTACATTCTTATTATTATAATCATTGAACTAATTGACAAATAAGTCTATTTTACATATTCATGATATCTAAGGCAGACCTTATGCACTATCATACAAATTAATGAACTCACACATAATGATATTCTTTATTTTTCAAAATTAAAACTTGATCAATTTTGCAAAAGAAACTCTAGAAAATCTCACACCCGCTATTCTCGATTGCTAAGGTCTGCAATGGAGGTTTCCGGTGCTAAGTGTCTGTAATGAGGACGGGGGAGCCGTGAAAACTTGACCTTAAAACTTGCACTCACTATTTTCTTCGAAAATATATATGAGTTCCACAATAGATAACAATTAGCTTCTTATGTAATTTCATACATAACTGTTACTTCAAATTCATACTATCATAGGAAAATATGCAGACAAAATGATTTAGACTTCATAAAGAAGAACTGTAATCTGTCTAATATAGCTTTCTTTACATTTAGACAATATTCTGCAAACACATCAAGTTTTATTCAACGGCGAATCGACGTACTACTGATCGTTCATTTCAAAATCTTTATCACCATTGAAGTAACATATATAATGTTGCCGTAACATATGACTTTTGGTCAGATAAGAAAATGCAATCATATTTATATCTAGCTGTGCATTACAAGTGTGAAGATATTTTATTTTGTGTTTTTGTAGCTCATCAAAACAACGTTAACCTGGCTGAAGATATTATGAGTGAACTCAAAAGTTACAACATTTTAGAAAAATGCGCCACTATCACTTGTGACGGCGCATCGAATATGAGAAAATATTTTAAATCTTCCGCAGCAGTGTTACAATTGCATTGCGCATAAGATCCAACATATTATTTGTGATGACTTTTGTTTATTGATATGTGTGGAGAAACTAAGCAAAGTAGCCACAATAATAGTATCATTATTGATGAACAGTAATCAGCAAGATGATGCAGCAGCTGAATTAGCTACATCAGTTTGTAAATTTTCCATAGTTGATATTTCTTATAATTATGTTTTGGACTATATTCTAATCTTCTCAATAAATGATTATCTGAACTAGTGTTATTTTTAAGTTGACAACGAAAGTATTGAGATAGAGCTGTATTCAAATTTTCTTTCTTATAGTTGAGTGAAGATGATGTTTCTCTTAGTGCACAATTCCAGTAAACGAAAAGAAAATGAATAATGCAACAATATTCAGCAATCTTTCAATAACCAAATTGAATAAAGTCATTCGATTTTTTATTACAAAATTAGAATACAAACAGAAGCGCTGTTACTTGAAAAAGAAAGTTTTATTCAAGTTACGCACAAGCAACCACCCATCTAAATACCTAAAATCAAGGACTTTAAGGTATATTTATTAAACGAAGTTTAAATAAAATAGATTTAATTAGTTTATCACAAGATAAATTATTCATATTTTTGGAGTTACCAGCAGTTCGCCAATGGAAATTTCGCCATTGAGGAACGTCCAATAGACTCGGGCCAGTATATCGCCTGCTTTTTCGTCAATTTACGTGTTATTTTGACATCGATTAGAGAAAAAATGTAACAACTGCATTCATAGGTGATATCCGTCTATATCATACTCACGAATTTCACCAGCTCGTTATTGAGTTATTCTTGATGAACCTTTTGCGATTTATCTCATTTTGTGTTTTTCTTCTTTGATTTAGTTTTTTTTATTTTGTGCTCGTATCGCTTGACATCAAAGTCTCTATTTTTTCTTTTCAATCTTAGCTGTTTTCCTAACTAGAAAATGGTCAGATCGTCTTTGAACACACTCTGAGTATATAAATCAGATGCATTTATATAACATTGCCATAGTTCTTACATATATGCCACCTTCATACTATTGTACAACGATTGATAAAAGTCCGAAAATCTTTCGCCAAATAATTGAGGAAAGTTTAGTGTTCGAGTTAGAAATAGTAATAAATTGTAAATCAGTCAATTTTATTAATTTTTTTATTTTCTTCATATGACTCAGATTGATAAAGAATCAATGACTAAGATTGAGCACACCGACAGATTGTTCCTATTGCACTTATTTAATGAAACCATGATAATTATGATCCTGCAGGCGATAGATGATTTGTCATCATTACTTCTATGCTCGTTACTATTGTTAATTAATCTAATAGTAACAGCAAAACAAATTTAAATTAGTAACAAAACTTTATTTTCTTTTTATTTAACTATAAATTCACTTTAATTTTACTATTTTCATTTGTATAAAATTGAAAAAGACATGGTTTTCAATGATTTGTTATGTAAATACATGCATCTATTCTCTTTCTACCTCATTAAAGTAAATGAAGTACTGTGCATAAGTGAAACATGTCGCGAAACGAGGAATTCGAAATCAACAGACAACTTTTTCTTATATAAAATCGGTTACATATTTAGAAATAATTCTTAAAATGTGAAAATATTTTCTTATAATAAACTAATCACTAACTCAATATGTCTTAAATATGTAAAGAATACATGATCTGATTTCTAACTAATTAAATCTATTTGATCTAGTAAATGGAAATATGTAAAATCATTTGAATAAGTTAACAGTTCAGTGCAATTGATATGTACGCAAACATTCTTGTGTTAAAAAGAGCAAGTACTAATTCTCAGCAGCTCTAGTAACGCTTATCGAAGTCAAATGTGGTTCAATCCGTACAAACCAACAGGCACAACATAGAGTTCTATATTCAAATCGAGTCTAAGAAATCTTGTTCTGTGATAGACATGTACAATTTGCAGGCAAGTCCATACTTAATCTTGAAATATAGCGTGAAAAAAAGGAAAAAGCTTCGTGTCCTGAAGAGTCAGTTGTGCTTCTAAACTTTCTGATTATTTTGTATAATGTAGATCTTTTTTGTGTGATATTTCCTTTTTTTGTCAAAAGAAAATGATCATGCGAAATATAAAAGAAGTATTATTATTATAACTCGAAAAAAATCAAGCAAAAAAATAATATCACAAAGAAATAAGAATAAAGAATAACTGTTCGCTTAATTCTATCTTTTATATACACACCAACATGGACATCAAATGACAATATCTTTTCAAGCTTCGCCTTCACGTTGAAGTGTTATTGTAGCCAATGCTTTAAGTGGCATTTTTCTACTAATAATGGGTGGCAGAACGGTTGACAATTTAATTGTTGGTCGTGATGATGTGACTTTATTCAAATTCGTTTTTTCTGTATTATTATTAAGTAACTGACGTTGACGCTTTGTATATAATTGTTCATTATATGACTCTATACTCTTAGATGAAAGTAGTTGCAATTGTTGTGGAGGAGTTGGTGGACGTCCAACAAACAAAACTTTTGTTAGCTCTTGATCAGAACTAGTTTGATTACTTAGAGATGACGAACGTTTCGATATATGACGACCGGATGGCAGAAGTTGTTGTTGTTGCTGTTGTTCACCGGTATATTTTAATTTATTTGATTTATTAGGTAAAATAATTTGTCCAAGATGAATACGATTTCGTACATTTTGTTGATGTTGTTTTTCCTGATGTAATTGATTTGTAAGTTGTGCAGTTAATATTGAACGTTCTTCAAGCTCAATTTTAAGTTCTCGTTGTTTATCATATTGTGTATGTAATTCTAACGCATGTTTACGATCATTTACAATAAGACGATTTTCATAATCTTTTAAACGTTTTTCTTTTTCTTCTAAACTTTTATTCAAATCGTTTATTTTATCTTTATATTGATATAATTCATTTTCAAGCTGTTCAACTATTTTTCGAAGTTTTCCTTCAATTATTTGAATAATGAAAGAGTTGTAAATTTTTTATTTGAAGTTATTACTTACTATCATCTGTAGAATTAATCACAGTACCGTCAATCGTTAATTGAAATGCCAGATCTAAAAAAATTTTGACATACGTATGAAGCGAAAACCGAATAATCGTACAATATACTAACCACTACATTTTTGTTGCCATTTGGCAATTTCTTCATGAAGACTAGCAAGTGTTGATGCATGTTCACGTTGAAGAAATGTTATAGAGTTTTCAGCATTTTGTAGTCGTTGAGTTAAAATGCTAGTATCCGTTGAAAGAAATTTTCTGTCAGACATCAATCGAATCTACAAAAAACAATGAACATAAATTCGGATAACAGTCATAACGACCAACGAATAGAACATATTAAATTATTTTGTATTATTTTTCCAAATTGTCTTTTGATACAGGAATAATCAAGAAAGCAAACTAATTATTGTTGTGTTTATCGTGTTAAACAGTATTCATCGCGTATCAGATCAGAGAGTATAAAACACATAGTAAAAAAAGGACCATAGAAAAATAGAATCAGATAAAAAGAAGAAGAACAAGCAATGGTTATAACAATGTTTCGATGCTTAATGATACATGTCAAACAGAAATGTATGTAAAAAAAAAACTCAGGCTGTGCACGTCGTCGCACGTAGCAGGATAAAGAAAGCAACTGATTGCATCGTCGCGCACCCACTTTGGTGCGATAAAGAAAAGAATTTAATAGAATTAATAATTTCCTTTGTCTTTCTTTCATAAGAAACCAAACAATACGATTTTTGTTTATGAAAGGGGACCAATAATGACCGGCAAAAGTTATATTTTTAATCTAATAAAACATTGAAACTATGCTTTCATGAAAAAATGATTTAATCATTCCGAAAACTTCAACTAGAATTCTTTTAATGAAAACATCTTTTCAAAAACTGTTGCTAACGACTTACTTCGTTTTATCAATTATTTATATACTGATCTCTAATGGTTTTATAGAATCAATGGAATAAAGAAATAATATTATTCTACAGATGAATGATTATTTTTTGTTACATATATTGATAAGAACTTTCCATATTACGGCTTATCAATGAACCTAAACTAGTTTAAATATGATGTTTATTTAGAAGAAAAAATATTTTTATTAATGTACTTTCGTTTTATTTACTCAAGCACTTGTCGATCTTTGCTGTTGTTGCTTTTGTTGATCAAATTCATCGAGTAGTTGATGTTGTCGGTGTCATTAATCTATTAAAGAACAAAGTATAATTCACTTGATTATTTTATATTCAATTGAACAAATGCAGACGAATTTACTATTTTTGTAAAAATATATTTAATTTGTTCACATCTTTATAGTTTATTTCAAATTTGAGAAAATTCTTTTTTTTGGGTTGAAATATTCAGGCAATTTTTTTTTCAGTTATTTATAAAAGATTATAGATTGTTTTATCATCACTAACGAATCTGTTCGATTTGTATTTTTATTAGAAAAGAGACGACAAAAACAAAAATATCATTACAACACTGTCTATTGACATTCCAACTTATTTGTTTTGGGAATCTTTGATTAAGATTTTGTTTCATCTATTCGTTACTTTAACCTTTTATGTCAAATCATAAAAGTATATGTAAAATACTATCACCGTCTTTCATTTAGAATTTGTTTAAGGAGATACCCCGTCTTCTGTCCGGGATTTCTTGGGAACGATTCGACGAAAAATGATGAAACTTTCAAGACAGATAGTTATCAACAAGCAAAGCAAAAACTTGCATAGACTAAAAATTCACAGATTGCTTGTTTCACAGAGATATAGAAGTCGAAAAGGTCAAAAATGGCCAGGAATTTCCCTGCAAAGCTCCAAACTTCATTTTTTTGAGCTGGAATTTTTTTTATGATAACTAAGATCAAATCGAGATACGTAGTTTTGTTTCATTTGAAAAATATTGTTCTTAGAGCTCATGGGAAACGAAATACTGGAAGTATCGTGAAGAAAATCGTTTTTTTCAGTGGTACTAATTTTTTAGAAGCTGATGAATTTCATAGGAACAATATTTTAAAGAAAAAAAAACGCGCACCTAATTTGACCAAAGTGCTCATTAAAAACTTTCAGTCCGATCGGACGCATCATGTTAAAGAAAAAGGGAGAAAACTTCGTTTTTTTGTTTGAGAAATAATTTTGAGAAAAACACAAAACTAACTTTCCTGTATATATCACAATTTTTTTCTTCAACTAAAACGATCAAAAACTGGTCACATTCATCAATGTTAGAGATTTCTGATACGTGCTCTTAGCACCTTTGGAATGAAAAATGGTCATTATCATTAGGAAAATTTTGCATACAAAGAATAGTGGCATCGTGAATTTTTCTACCGGAGATTTCGAGAGTTGGGTTTAATAAAAGTATTAACGAAGCTATATTAGGAATGAAAATTTCAAAATCAAAAAATTTTAACATTTAGCAAGGGAGAAAAGTTCCCTCAATAAGAACTTCTTATTCATTCGAATTCATAATTGATTGTGTGATCATCTAATTTTAATTTTGTCCAAATTTACTAAAATAAGTAGAAAATTGATAAATAAAGATTACTATACGAACCAACTTGAAAGGTTTCAATTAAAAATAATAGTTTATATGTTTTTTTCAGCTATTATTTCAGTTCAGTAACATTGAACTGTTCTTTTTTTATGAGAAGTGTAGAAAAAGACTTGCTTTTTATGCTAACTTTTTTAGGGATACGTGAAAGTTTTTTTCTTGTAATTCTCTTAATCATTCATTTTCTTTTATTAATGGAAACTATTTAAAAATTTGATCATTAATTCTAATTTATATGTTTAACTGATTGATAAATTTTTCCTTCTCTTCAGCCATTTTTTTACTTTGCATTGCTTAGCAACAACAAGAATCTAACAAAGTGCATTACTGTTAAGAGTCACTGGAGACAATATAATTTGAGTGTTTATAGAAATAAATGAATTGTTAGATTGATTTTAATTTTTTCCAAACTATTGTAATAAATAATTTTCATTCGTTTAAGTTGAATAAATCAGGTTGCTTAGTGATATCATAGAGTACAAACGGATTAATGGTTTCGATTTGTCTTTGATAAGCAACAAGTGGCAGACAAATTCCATAGCAAACAAGAAAAAAAAAGAAATAATGCCATCAACAACAACTACAGGTAAAACCATTGATCTTCTTATGAGTTTTTTTTTCAATAGATTGTATTATTAGATTATCCATCAACTGATACAAATCGTCAAAAGTTATTATTATCTTCCCGTGCTTGGGATACATTAGCTACTGAGTATTATAATTAGAGTCTACTTTTTTTGTCTCTTACATTTATTTTAGTCATTTCTTTTAAATATAGTCGAAATAATCAACGTAAAAGTAATACAAATTTATCGAAGGTTTCCAGTTTAGAACGAGGAATTAATGCACGTCCAGGTGCGCATACAGATCGTAGTCGACGTGGAGGTCAAGGAACTCATGATTCAGAAGAATCGAGTGGAGGAGATGATGATGATGAAGAAGAAGATCAACTAATTGAAAGAACACGCCAAGATCAAACTGATTTACCATCAGAATATTGGCAAATACAACGATTAGTTAAATATCTTAAAGGTGGAAATCCAACTGCAACTGTCATTGCATTATCTTCCATTCGTGATTTTAATTTATCAATAGAAATATGTCAATTAGCTATTCGTGATGTTGGAGGTTTAGAAGTTCTAGTTAATTTACTTGAAACAGATGATATTGATTGTAAAGTACATATAAACATCGGATTTCCAAAAGATTAACATAAAAACTTGTATAATTCAAATTTTCTTTAGATTGGTTCATTATATATTCTCAAAGAAGTATCAAATAATCCATCTATACGTCGAAATATAGCAGATCTTGGTGGATTACAAACAATGGTTAAATTACTTGATGAACCAGAAAAAGATTTAAAATGTCTTGCTGCTGAAACAATTGGTTAGATTTGTATTAAAAATAAACAACAAAAATACATCAAATTAATTTTAACATTATGTTTTAGCTCATGTTGCTAAATTTAAACGAGCACGTCGAGTTGTTCGACAACATGGTGGTATTAAACGATTAGTAAGTATATAGTTTAGTAGATAAATGTTACTAAAAGAGAAAAAAAAAATAACAACATGTAGGTTGCTCTTTTGGAAAATGCTTCTGTTAGTGGTCATGGATCCATTGCTCATGCTGGACATAATGATCAGGCAAAGAATATTGAAGTAGCTCGTGCAGGTGCATTAGCTCTTTGGAGTTTAAGTCGATCAAATCTTAATAAATGTGCTATGCAACGTGCTGGTGTTATTCCACTTTTGGCTAAACTACTAAAAAGTTCTAATGACAATATGCTCATTCCTGTGGGTGGCATTATAGAAGAGTGTGCTACTGATGTATAGTTTAAATTAACACTTTTTGTTATCAGAAAAAAATAATTGTTTAATTTTTTTTCAATAGCCTGTTTATAGAACAGCAATTCGAGGTATGATTCCTGATCTTGTCAAAAGCCTATCGGTTACCAATGCTGAATTACAAAAACATTGTGCTAGTGCTATTTTTAAGGTTAAATTAAAATAGAAAATTCTTATTCACTAGACAAGAAATGCAAAGTATTGTTGCTTTTTTAGTGTGCGGTAGACAAAGAAATACGTGATCTGGTAAGAAAACATTCAGGTCTTCGTCCTTTACATGATCTTTTACAACAATCTGAAAATAAAGCGTTATTGGCTGCAGCAACAGGTGCCATTTGGAAATGTGCGATTTCTCGTGAAGTAATTCTTGTTTCTTTCTATATGATATTATTCTTTTATATACGATTTTTTTTCTCAATATTAGAATATTTCACAATTTCAAGAATTTCGAACAATCGATGCTCTGGTACAATTACTTAATAATCAACCAGAAGAAGTCTTAGTTAATGTTGTTGGTGCATTAGCTGAATGCGCAAAAGAAGCAGATAATCGAACAACAATTCGAAAAGCCGGTGGAATATCACCATTAGTTAATTTATTAACAGGAACAAATCAAGCTTTGTTAGTAAACACTTGCCAAGCATTACGTCAAAGTGCTGAAGAACCTGAAAGTGTCACGTAATTACTTACGTTTTAATCTTTTTATTAGGTTCTCTTTATGATATATGTTTAGAATGATTGACCGTTTGGATGGTGTTCGATTATTGTGGTCACTTTTAAAAAATCAAAATCCACAAGTACAAGCTGCAGCTGCTTGGGCTATATCACCATGTGTGAAAAACATAAAAGTTTGTTAGAAAATA